CGAGAGAGCTAGGAAAAGTGGGAAAGAAGGTGAGCGGTTTTCACTCGAATCTGACTGCGTTTTACACCCTGTACGTTTCACTCATGGTTTGTTTCATGCAAAGTGCGTCCGAGAGCAGTGTGTTTCACTCACAAAGCAACCTGGTGGGCGATGGCGCGCTTGGGGGGTCAGGGTTGAGCATCCACTTAACCAAGTCCTTGGCATGGTCAGAGATGGACGGCCAGGGAAGGGGTGGGCCTTGGCCTTTGGAGTCGATTCACTAGTCACTGGTAGCACCCGTTTCTCACAGTACAATTTGCCACTCACAGAGCACTTGGTGAGCGGTGGGGCGCTTGGAGGGGTCGGGGTTGAGCATACACTTGACGAGCTCTTGGCATGGTCGGAGATGGACGGCCAGGGAGGGATGGCGACGGCCTTTGCGTCATTCAATAGTCACTGGTAGCACTCGTCTTTCACAGTAAACTCTACCACTCACAGAGCACTTGGTGGGCGGTGGGGTGCTTGGAGGGATCGAGGTTGAGCATCCACTTGACGAGCTCATTGGCGTGGTCGGAGATGGACAGCCAGGGAAAGAAGGGATGGATACTGAGTCGAAACCACCGCCACTCATTGCACTCAGTCACCGAAGGCAATACATTTCTTCCACTCACAGAGCACTTGATGGGCGGTGGGGCGCTTCGAGGGGTCGGGGTTGAGCATCCACTTGACGAGCTCCTTGGCATGGTCGGAGATGGACGGCCAGGGGGGAATGGCGAAGGTGGGGTTGCCCCGCAGCACCGCCTTGAAAATCTCCTTGGTGGAGTGGCTACCTGGGGGGATAGAGGGAGAGAGGGAGGGGGGGGAGGGAGGAGGTGGGGCAAGTAGGTGGGGGAGGTTGGTCGCACAAGTAGGAGCAAGGTGGGGTTGCCCCGCAGCATAGCCTTGAAGATCTCCTTGGTGGAGTGGCTTTCTGGTGATAGAAGAACGAGGGGGAGAGGGAGGGAGGAGACGGAGGAGGTGGAGGAAGTTGGTCACAGGTAAGTGGAAGGTGGGGTTGCCCCGCAGCACCACCTTGAAGATCTCCTTGGTGGAGTGGCTCCCTGTGAATAGGAGGAGAGCCAGCAGACCGGGGGGGACAAAAGGGATTGGGGAACGAGGGAGAGATGGTGGGGGAAGTTGGTCACAAGTGATAAGAGGTGCAGAGGGAAAGAAATAGAAAGACCGTGAAAAAAAAGAAGAGAAAGAACGAAGGGGGAGGGGAAGTGGAAATACCATGACTAACGCCCATGGCCACCACCTGATGACCTTAGGCGCTTTCAAATGCCTCCATGTGAAACACTACAGAGTGATCTCAACCAAGGAACACGAACGTACGGTGGTAGAAGGGCGGGAAGCCGCAGAGCAGCGCGTAGATGAGCACGCCCGCACTCCAGATGTCCACCTCCGGGCCGTACTTTGGCGGGCGCTTGGCCATGATGAACGCCCCTGGCCGCCACTTGATCACCTCAGGCGCCATGTACATGGGGCTGCCACAGTGCCGCGACATGCCCTCGCCTGATAAGAGGGGGTACGGATGGGGATGGGGATTGGGAGAAGGTAGTATGTGACTGTTGATTCATTGTGATGCCCCTGGCCGCCACTGGACTGGATCACCTCAGGCGCCATGTACATGGGGCTGCCACAGTGCCATGACATGCCCCCGCCTGGTAAGAGGTGATGGGGATGGGGATAGGGAGCAGGGGCTATGTCACTGTTGATTCATTGTGATGGCCCTGGCCGCCACCAGATCACGTCAGGCGCCATGGACATGGAGCCGCCACAGTGCCGCGACATGCCCTCGCCTGGTAAGAGGGGGTGGAGTAGGGGTGGGGATGGGGTTGGGAATGGGGATAGGGAAGGGGGCAGTTGAGTCTAAGTAGTATCACGATGGGAGCCACCTGTTGCAAAAGGTCCCATGCGTGAGCATTGGGCCGCCACAGTGCTGCAATTCGGTCAGTCAATGCTTGACTCAATGGATTATAATTCTAAAAAACCAGCTCACCAGTTGCATGAGCTGCCATGTATGTGCATTGGGCTGCCACAGTGCTGCAAATCGGTCATTCAATGCTTGACATGGGTAAGCAAGCACCCACCCACCCTTGTAGAAGCAGGAGAGGCCGAAATCCGTGGCCTTGAGCTCAGCCGTGGCCTCGTCATTGCTGGAGAGGAGGAAGTTCTCGGGCTTGAGATCACGATGCACCACGCCCAGGGAGTGGCAGCGCTCCACCACTCGAACGATCACCTTGGCCATCTCTGCTGCGTCCTTCTCCCTGTCATGGGTAGCATGGGGGGGAAGGAAGAGGGGGAACAGGGGGTTGAAGAGGTGAGAGAAGGGTGTAACATGCCCAGGAAGTGGCAGCGCTCCACCACTTGCACGATCACCTTGGCCATCTCTGCTGCGTCCTTCTCCCTGTCATGGGCAGCATGGAGGGAAAGGGAGAGGGGAAACAGGGGGTTGAAGAGGTGACAAAAAGGTGTAACATGCCTGCCCAGGGAGTGGCAGCACTCCACCACTCGCGCTATCACCTTCGCCATCTTATCACTTCTGCATCCTTCTCTGTGGTGGATTTCATGAGGGAACATGGTACAAAGCGCAAACAGAAATAGTTGAGGAGCGTTGTGATAAGAAAAGAGACACTAGTTCCTAGCGAGTCTGCATGAGCTTCCCTTCACAAACCCTTTCTAACGCATGGAACCCTTTCTAACCCTTCACAAACCCTTTCAAACCCTTCACAAACCCTTCCTAACGCGAGGCCCTTTCCAAGACCCCATGGCCACTCACGAGTACGGCACTCCTCTGGCCTCTATCCTCTTTATAATCGTGTCGTAGAGTTCGCCTCCCGTGCACAGCTCCATCACAATGTACACGTGCTCCTTGTCCTCATACGCGTCCTTGATGTTCACAATGTTGGGCTGATTCTGAGTACCAAAGGAGGGGAAGCAGGAATCAAGGACATCGAAGAGAAAGCCGTCAGCCTGGGGACCATACTTCTGTCTGCCAGGTGGTACTGGCGAATACGGACGACAGGTTGGGCCTTTGGCCATGCAACACGGGCCTTAGGCAATGCAGCATGTAACTGCATTTGATGCAGACATCCATCCACCAGCGGTTTTTGTACAGAGAGGCACATGGTCGCGCAGAAAGCTACCCACCTGCACATGGCACTCACAGACCACCACCCACCTGCACATGGTACAGTATCGCCACCTCCCGCCTGACATCCTCCACATCGCCCTCCGTCACCAGCTTGCTCTTGGGGATGCACTTGCACGCGTACGCCTGGCCTGTGGCACGCTCTATGCACACATAGGTCGTGCCGAACTGCCCCGAGCCCAGCCTCTTGCCCATTTCAAACACATCCGGGAAGGATGCTGCGTGAAAACAAGAGGGGTTGGTGGACGTGGGGGTCACAAAAGCCGAAGGAGATGCATGAATCCGAATGGCTTCACAACGGTTGACGGGAGAGTTCTGATATATGTTTTAAAAAATATCCAATATTCGAATCATGAATCAAGTCGAGGCATGAAAGGTACCATCAAGGACGATCTAAGGCCGGGGCGATGCAGTTTTTGAATCTGGGTTCGGCACTTGGGTTACGCAAAAAAAGCCAAAGACTTTGTACCTGGGTTCGTGGTGGAGAGCACCCTTCCAGTGAAATGGCGTCTCCGGCCCTGCCATGACACGAAGCGGGAGTCAGAATGAAGAATTAAACCAACGAGATTTTAGGAAGAGGTCCAACGGAACGCTTTAAAGAAGCGCTAACAGCAGCTCATGTTTTTCTTTTCGATAGGCTTGTTCGATGGTGACCGTTGGAGAATGACAAAGAGCTACCCTGGCCTCTATAAACAGGCAAGAGCGCGAAAAATAACCAACTCGAAGCGTGAGCAAAGAATGGCGACTCAATCAGACAATGTCGCGCGTCGCAAAACTAATCGTTAATATAGAAAGAAACTGACAAATGGCAAACTAAGGCCAGCCAAAATGGCACCAGGTACGAGATTCTTGAGAGTATTAAGTCTCACCAGATCCATCCGGAGGCCTTGAGTCACCCGCACGCTCCTTAGATCGAGCTGACCCCGCTATCGGGGAAGGTGTTCTATCAGAGGTTGTATCTACGAGGATGCGAAATATAAATAAAGCACGTGATTATTGCGCTTGAGAGAAAACTATCCTACGGCGCTTGTAGAAACGAAGCGTTCAAATGCTATGCTGACCAGGTTGGCCGGAACCCAAGAATGCTCGGTCCAGTGTACAGAACCGAGAGCGAAGAGTGCACAGGTAAAAGGCCGAACGCGTCCAGGCTCCGGAACAGGCTCGGCTAGCTCTCCAGCCCCATTTGGGAAAGGTCAAGCTGCACTAGATAGTGGCCTAAGGGAAGTATTTCTAAGAAAAGCTTGCTGTTGTGCTGATAAGTGTTTTGGGGGGGTGCTGCTGGACCATGTTGTAGAAAGGGAACAGGTACTGCGTACTGTACAACAGCTGATGATGTGTGGGCGTGATGTGATTGCTGTCGTGTTGGTGATTCGGCGGGTGTTCCATAAACGAAAGGAGCAAAGCAGGGAAGGGCAAGTAACTGTGAGGGCAGAGCAAAAGAAAAGTGGGAAAAGTGGGGTTCTGTATATATACGGACAAAAGGGGCAGAAACAAACGGGCAGGGGAGAAAGGAATCGAGGGGCTACGGATGCCGTCCGAAAGATTTGGGTTTAGGGTCACGGACGGATCCGGGTTCCCTAGGGGTTTATTTTTTGTTTCTTTCCAGCCCGAAATCCGACGATAGTTTTGTCGTTTTGCGCTGGTAGGGTCTACCTAACCGTATAGATTACATGATTTTAGGAACACGTCGGGACTAGCACTCAGCGATACATATGTGCATGTTTCGCAACCGCATTGTTGATGCAATCCAATAACTTTTTAACGATGCCATTTCGAATGAGGATTAGTCGTTGGACTCATCCCTCCGATCCGTCTCTTCTGTCCAGAACTCCCCAAGTTTTCATGCGAAGAAACGAATTTCCACTGGCTTTCAGCTAACCTCACCGATTCTCCCATGTTGGGCACTAGATATATCGTTCTGGCCGCCGTGGTCATCTTGCTTCATGGAAGCTGCATGACTGCGGTTGGAATTATTTCTTCTCGTGCCAATTGCGTTGTTTCTAACATGAAGTAACATAGCGAATGCTTGCAGGCGTACGACGAGGATATCATGAAATCTCCCAACTTGAACAAATACATAGCTAACGCACAACGATCAGCTGAGCTAAGGGTAAGCACCCCTTGTTCCGGCGAATTTCTCTTACCTGAACAATTTCACCTCATCCCTTCCGCAGGAGCGCTTACTATATCGTCTCCCGGCTGAAGTGAACGTCAGGAAATGTGGGGAACGTTTCCGTCGCCTCGTTCATAGACTACGTGAGTGATCGTTCTTTTCCATCCTGTCTATTGCAACAATTGCTCTAACGTGTCATTTCAGCTCCCTACAAGCCGACTGGTTCATACCTTGTCACCGTTTGCAATGGCGGCCTCAACCAACAACGAGGAGCAATTGTCAATGCCGTTATCCTCGCACGGTTTTTGAACCTGACGCTTGTTGTTCCGTTTCTTAAAGCCCACCCTGTCTGGGGAGATAGCAGGTATATTTTATGCGAAGTTTTCCAAAGTGATGTCTCGACTGTCCACATGCTAATGACTGTTGAAAAAACAGCTCGTTTCAAGACCTCTTCAATGTGACCCATTTCAAGGCGGTGTTGAAAGGCTTTGTTAAAGTGGTCGCATCCATTCCTGAAGAAGGAAAGCATCTTCCAATTCACGAATTTAGGCCTCCTGAAGATGCCCTGGCAACGTTGGATTGGTACGATTTCCTCTTATTTTATGCCATGCATCCAGCGGTCTGTGTTAACTCTGATAAGCACACACAGGTACGTGGAGAATGTGAAGCCTACAGTTCAGAAAAACAGCATTGCCCTTCTTAGTCCCTTTGCAAGGCGACTTGCAAATGCTCTTCCGGAACCATGGCAACTTCTTCGATGCAAGGTCAACTATGAGGTATGAGGCTTGGGCTTGTACTGACTTGACATGGTTCTGGAAACCTGGTGGTAACATGCTTCTTGAAACAGAGTCTCAAGTTTGTGGATTCCATTCTTGTGCTGGGAAGAAAGGTCGTACGGAGGATGAAGAAGATGTCATCCAACTTCGTGTCACTGCACTGGAGGTTCGAGACTGATGCTGTTGCCTATTCAATGTGTGAATTCGGAGGTGGTGAGAAGGAGAAGCTGGCTTTAGAGGTACGGTACGGAACCATTGCACCTACTCAATCTGTCGGTTTTTTTCCTTGAAGAATATACTCATCCGATTCCTCGCCAGGAATACCGTGTCAGACACTGGGATCGAGCAACAAGGAAGCTCCGTGAATTTCTAAATCCTGCTAGTCAGCGCGTACTTGGTCAGTGCCCAATGAGTGCCATTGAGACTGGCATCTTCATGCGGGCAATGGGAATTCGCAGAAATGCAGTCATATACGTCTCTACACTAGAGGAGCAGCTTTTTGGTGGTAATCACAGCCTCCTATCCTTGCGTACCATGTTTCCAAGTGCTCTGACTAAACGAGACGTTCTAACGAAGGTATGAGCATGGGTTTTTTTTTGCAGTGCCTTCTTTTACCATTTATTAGGCTCTCTTTCTGCAATAATTTCTCCTCTCATTAATGTCTATGCAGGAAGAACTTGGTCCACTGGCAAAAAGGGCGTCAGCACTTGCTGCTATTGATTACATAGCATGCACAGAAAGCAGTGTGTTTTTTCCAACTGCAACTGGGAACTTTCCCAATTTTGTTATCGGCCACAGGTGATGAGTATGTCCAGTTAGTAGTCCTTGGCTTCTGGGACCTCCTGCCTGACATGCGCAAACACAGGCTTTTCTATGGTCGAAGGAGCATCCAACCAGACTTGAAGAAGCTGTCAGCCGTGTATTCATGTCACCGCCACATGTCCAGAGAGTGTAACTTGCTCGACCTGGTTAGGGCCGCTCATGAGGAACACCTAATTTACCATGGAAGGTCTCCATCAAGCAACTTCTTCGCGAATCCAGAGGAGTGCCTATGTGCGCACTGAATCCTGAAATATTTATTCTGTCATCCACAAGTTTCATTCGTGGCTTGAATCGTGTATGGTACTTCTGCAAATCCAGAAATGTTCTCACTGTTGTAGCCTTGCTATCTCGGTCACATCCTTTACAAGCAACTGCGAGTCAATGAAATTGTCATACCCATGGATTGCAACTACTGTCCTGCCCACGGCATTCACAACCCTTCCATCTTCCTTCAATTCAAAAGAGTCCTCTGCACTAAACCGATGCAACACGTTCCCATGCTGTGCATCCTCAACCCTCAACGATTCTATACCTTCCTTCAGCCTCCCTGCATCACAACAAACAGAAAAGCGATAAGGCAGGAGGAATCTAAAACATACGAGAGAAAAAAAACAATACACGACATGGTCCATGCGTTTCTTACTCCAACCCCTGCTGTAACAGATCTTACCCGAGCGAACGAGATGATTCACAACAGCTTCATCGCTCTCCTCAAGCGCCATGCAATCCTCTGGTAGCCTCTCAAAGTCCTCAATGACTTGGATCAAGAACTCCTGCACCTGGCTCAGAGTGCCTGCCACAAAGCCTGACGTGATTATCCGTGAATTTGCTAGCGAGAAGGCCAGGCGGGTGCCGTAACAAGCAGCAAGGCGCTTGTGCTCTGGAGGAAGGAAACGAATGCCATGCGTTGGGTAGACAGCAGAGCCCTGGGAAATGACAAGATGCGACAGAGAGGTCGGTGAGCATGCAAGATGAGCCAAACTGCCTCGTAAATCGGGGAATATACCCCAGTTGTGCTAAAACAGAAACGTGTAAGAGACCCATACAATCCCGCCCACCTCCCCTTTCCCCACTCCCTCGGCTCCTTGTACCAGCATGCATACCACATCAAAAGGCGGCACAGCTTACAGTGTATAGATGAAAGGACATGTCATTGAGTGTTGGGAACGGGTTGGCAAGAAGGAGGACGTCGGTTGGGTCAGCAAGAATGACAGTCCCCTCAAAGTCCAGGGAGCGCAGGAAGAGATGGAAGGCCCGATAGCGCAGGTTGGTGGCATGTGCTGATGACCATTTGCCTGGGAGAGTGGGATGAGTGCATGGATATAGGGGTAAAGAATAATGGGGGTCAGCAGGAATGGCAGTCCCCTCAAAGTCCAGGGAGCGCAGGAAGAGGTGGAAGGCCCGATAGCGCAGGTTGGTGGCATGTGCTGATGACCAGTGGGATGAGTCGAAGGGTAGGGAGGCATGGGGCATGGGGTTTAAACAGACATGATGAGCTGGATAGCACAGGTTAGAGGCATGTGTCGATGACCATTTGCCTGGGAGATTAGGATGGGCACAGGGGTAGACAAGCACAGGCACAACCATAGGATATATCACACATGACAGCACAGGTTGGGGGAGTGTGCTGGCCATATTCGCCTGAGGGAGAAAAACGGATGCACAGTATAGAGACCTAGTGCAGCAGACAGGGTTCGAGAAATACATGTAAAGCCCAGAGAGGATGGGACATTGGTAAAAGAAAAGTCATGGTAGTGCCGGTTGACTGCATCAAGAAGGAAGGAAAGGAAAGGCTGATAGAATTACCAGGGATAAATTACCATCGAGAACTGACTGACAGACTGACTTAAATGACTGACTGACTGACTGACTGACTGAATTAAATGACTGACTGACTGAATTAAATGACTGACTGACTGACTGACCGACCGACCGACCGACCGACCGACCGACCGACCGACCGACCGACCGACCGACCGACCGACCGACCGACCGACCGACCGACCGACCGACCGACCGACCGACCGACCGACCGACCGACCGACCGACCGACCGACCGACCGACCGACCGACCGACCGACCGACCGACCGACCGACCGACCGACCGACCGACCGACCGACCGACCGACCCGGACCGACCGACCGACCGACGACCGACCGACCGGACCGACCGACCGACCGACCGACCGACCGACCGACCGACCGACCGACCCGACGACCGACCGACCGACCGACCGACCGACCGACCGACCGACCGAACCGACCGACGACCGACCGACCGGACCGACCGACCGACCGACCGACCGACCGACCGACCGACCGACCGACCGACCGACCGACCGACCGACCGACCGACCGACCGACCGACCGACCGACCGACCGACCGACCGACCGACCGACCGACCGACCGACCGACCGACCGACCGACCGACCGACCGACCGACCGACCGACCGACCGACCCGACCGACCGACCGACCGACCGACCGACCGACCGACCGACCGAGCCGACCGACCGACCGACCGACCGACCGACCGACCGACCGACCGACCGACCGACCGACCGACCCGACCGGACCGACCGACCCCGACCCGACCGACCGACCGACCGACCGACCGACCGACCGACCGACCGACCGACCGACCGACCGACCGACCGACCGACCGACCGACCGACCGACCGACCGACCGACCGACCGACCGACCGACCGACCGACCGACGGACTGACTGACGGACTGACTGACTGACTGACTGACTGACTGACTGACTGACTGACTGACCTTCCTCTGGGGAGCAGAACGTCTGTAGTGCAACCCCCCCCTGGTGCTTCCACCCTTTGGGCCACTCCTGCACGAAAAACACCAGCAGAGCGCCCCTATGTTGCCCCTCACTCCCACTCTCACTCCCACCATCCCCTTCCCCATCACCACCGCCAGCACCACTGCCGCTGCTGCTTCCTAGCACGAACTTTCTGAATGACGTGGCAAGCGCTGATAGGTTGGTTGCGGAAAGGCCGAGGGCGAAGGAGAGGACGAGGTTGGAGGGCAGGGTCTTGGGCGTGAGTTTAAAAGGGGTGGGGGAGAGGAGCCTGCGGAGGACTATGTCGTCCTCAGCCACGCCCTCACAGGAACGAATGCGCTCCACTGAGGGGTCTGCCACAGAAGCAGGGGGGGTGAGGGTGGGAGGGGGCGGGGACGGAGAGGATGAGGTTGGCAGGGAGGGTCTTGGGCGTGAGTTTAAAAGGGGTGGGGGAGAGGAGCCTGCGGAGGACTATGTCGTCCTCAGCCACACCCTCACAGGTACACACGCGCTCCACTGAAGGGTCTGCCAGGGGAAGAGAGCCGGGGGGGGGGGGGGGGGGGGGATTTGGGCGTGAGCTTGAAGCGGGTGGGGGAGAGCATCTTGCGGAGGACTATGTCGCCCTCAGCCACGCCCTCACAGGAACGCACACGCTCCACTGAAGGGTCTGCTGGGGTGCAACGGGAGGGAAGTGGGTGGTGGGGGGGAAGGGGGGGTGGGGAAGGGGGGGGAGGGGGGGTGGGGAGGGGGGGGGAAGGGAGGGTGGGGAAGGGGGGGGGAGGGGGGTGGAGGGGGGGGGGGGGGTAGATCAGCTTGCACTATAACTATGTCGCTACTAGCTATCCCTTCACAGGAACGCACGCGCTCCAATGAGGGGTCTGCCATAGGGAATGGGGGATTTGTGGGGGGTGAGGAGTTTGCAGGCTAGAAACCAGAAGCATGAGAGTATCTGCGAGCTTAGCAGAGTATCTATGAGCTTAGCAGAGTATCTATGAGCTTAGCAGAGTATCTATGAGCTTAGCAGAGTATGTATGAGCTTAGCAGAAGCATGAGAGTATGTATGAGCTTAGCAGAAGCATGAGAGTATGTATGAGCTTAGCAGAAGCATGAGAGTATGTATGAGCTTAGCAGAAGCATGAGAGTATGCATGAGCTTAGCAGAAGCATGAGAGTATGTATGAGCTTTCCCGGAGGGGAGAGAATTGGAACTTAGCAGTGCTGACTCACACGCTGCTGCAGCTGAGCCCTGCACTTCTGGTGATGCTTTTTGAGGCGCCTAAAGGAACACTAACAGAAGTGCAGGGCTCACTTCTGTTCTTTTTGCTTTATGAGTTCATCCGTAGAGAAGACGAGAGGAGAGGAACTCAGCAGCATTGGACTCACAAGCTGCTGCAGCTGAGCCTTGCACTTCTGCTGATGCTCCTCCTCTCAACCCTGCCCTCTGACCTCCTCGCCCTCCCTCTCCTCCTCCCCCTCTCCCTTCATCCTCCTCTTCCTCATCATCGAATGTAAACACTTTGTCCTCCTCCCTCTCCTCCTCCTCTGCTCTCCTCTTTTCCCTCTCACTCTTTTCCCTCTCACTCTTTTCCCTCTCACTCTCTGACGCATTAATTATCCTAGAACCTTTCGCAGACTCCGAATCAACACCGGCCTTTAAGCCAACCGCACTCTTTGAATCCCCTTCATTATAAGAGCCTGCTGCTGCAGCGCCAATCTCTCCCACTGTTCTGTTGCTCCCTTCACCCTTTATCTCCCCCGTTATACTCTCACCAGCTGTGTCTTCCCTTGCTTCCCCATCCCCGCCTACCATTCCCCCGATATTACCACTTCCTTCACTATCAATCGCTCCGTCCCTAGCGCCGCCGCTGCCGCCGCTGCTGCTGTTGCTACCTTCCAAGTCAGGCAATCCAACGGTCAAATCAACCTCCTTTCCTGCCTTTCCTCCTCCTCCTCCTCCCTCTCCGCTTTCCCTAATAATTCTCCGGCCTGTCCCCAGTCTAATGTTCCCGCCATGACTCCCATCAAGGGTTTGCAGACCCGGGGACTCGTTAATACTCAATAGATGCCGATTCGTTACGGGGATAATAATCACGGCCGTGAACAGTAAGCCGAGAAGGTAAAGCGTCATCAGGCGGAGGGGTCGCGGACGGGAGGAAGCTTCGAGGAAGGTGACGCGCACGCTGATGTTGAGATTGTTCGTGGAAGCGCCATCGCCGCGAAATGCGGCGGAATTCCCGGAGGATTTGTCGCTGGTTTCGCGGGAGAGAAACCAGCGCCGAATCGCGGACCAGACTCGAGACATTCTGGCCCTGCGATCGGACGGTCAGGAGTTGCTTCTCGATTCGCATAGACAACTGCAGGAAAGAGGCGCGTAGTGAATAACCAGCGGACGGAACTCTAGATGGCGTGGGACGAGTACCAGGCGCATGAAATATAAACAGCCTTTGGGATATAAATTTTTATCCTTCGCATCTACCTACTGTAGAGAGAATATGCTTGGATGGAGGAGGATTGGCTGGAGAAGAACAACGTTTCTTACGGCGTGTTCCCCCAGCTAGAGATTAAAGGTACAATTTCGCAAAACGTTCTTATTTCACGATCCATTCGAGGGTCCCCTGAGCGCAGCTAAGGGTGCTGTACACATGAGCCTGGGGTTTCAGGTTCACACTCAGTTGCAAGGTCCTCCGGCCATAATTGGCAGGGAACATTCGCGGTTCCTATACTGGGAGGAATAGTTGAGACAAAGCGAAACTCCTTCGGGTCTAACCGGCTCTTGAAAAAAAACAAGACCTCAACTGGCAGAATAGCCGTCGCAGGTGTACTGTATGTCAATCTATTTTCGTAAACATTGCACTTATGTTCTGTGGCACTGCCCGAAAACGAACAAAAGTTTCGCAGACTATTTCGCGTCGTATGCCACCTCTTCTCCGCGAACCACAAGCTCAGCCGTTTTTCCCGCCAAATTGACAATTTCGAGGACAGCTCCGGCGCGCTTCATCACGGGTCATTGCCGCTTTATTGCTGGCGCCGTCAAGCCCGACCACATATTATATTTTCTTCCAGAGCGGCAAGCGGCGAGCAGCATTGCTTGTCTTGGCGAGAACCGCCGACGGCTAGATTAACCACAGCGAAAGAGATAGCGAAATAGCGCCGCTCGCCGTTGATGCGCGGCTGAAGCAATGTCGCGCAAAGTAAAAGAGGCGCCTCGCGCCCCACCAGCACCCGCTGAGGGCGTCAGCAGCAGCAGAAGCAGCAGCAGCAGCAGCAGCAACAACAACAGCAACAGCAACAACTATTGCGGCGGCGGCGGCGGAGGCGGCGGCGGAGGCGGTAGCACCTGGTTTGCGTTGATGATCAGCCATGTCTCATCTCTCACCCCCACGAGGTTACTCACCCTACCTAGATTACTACTCACCCCCACACGCCTACAGCTACTAAACAGCACCACATCACGCAGAATAGGCGTTGGAATCGCCGCTGCTCTCCTCTTGGCCCTCCTCCACCTCCTCCTCCTCCTCCTCTCCCCCATCCCCTCCTCCTCCCCCTCTCCCCCCATCCAATCACCTTCCGTCCTGTCGGCACACGACCACGTTTTCAGCAGTGATGCGCTTAGCAGCGAGCTCGGGCAGCAGAAATTTGCCTCACGGGCAGCGTCGGGCAGGGAAGGGGAAGATGACGTGCCTGATGATGCTTCGCTGTATCCTGATTTGGGCGAGAGGTGAGAACGAAGGGTGGGAGAAGAATGGGGGAGGAGGAGAGAAGGGAGAGGGGGGGAAAGGAGAGCGGGGGAAAGGAGAAGGGAGAGGGTGGGAAAGGAGAGGGGGGAAAGGAGAGGGGGGGAGGGAAAGGAGAAAGGAGAGGGGTGGAATGGAGAAGGGAGAGGGGTGGGGAGGAGTGGGGGGGAGGAAAGGAGAAGGGAGAGGGGTGGGAAGGAGTGGGGGGGAAAGGGGGACGTAGGGTGGTGGAAGGGAGGCGACCGACATTTTCTATTCACCTTCATTTTGCTTTCCTCGTAACTTCCTCGTAACTTCCTCGTAGCCTCCTTGTGCCTTGTACATCTTTCCCGTGCGAGCGAGCTTATTGCGAGTATCTCATTTTCATTTTGCCTGCATTTATCTCGTGCTTCTGTCTACATGCTAATATCCGAGGAGATCCCTTACACACCTGAAATCTCCTGTACACAGCCTGGAAAATCCTTTTTTTTTAGGCGCCTCAAAAATAGACTCCCGTCTCCTGACGCCGCGCTCACTGGAAGACGTCCAAGGACCTGAAATTTCCTGTACACAGCCTGGAGAATCCTTTTTTAAAGTGGAAATAATTGCTTCCTCTCCCCCTCTATTGCCAGTTCCCCTTACTCTGGCTGCTGTACCAGCACAACCAGGAGGCCATTCAGTGGCTTGGGTTGGGGTCATGAACAGAGAACAGACGGCTAGAGAGGCACACTCAACGTCCTGCCTACTCATGCCCGCTCAATGAGCATCTAGCCGTCTGTTCCTGCCTTCTCAGATGAGCATCTAGCCGTCTGTTCCTGCCTTCTCAGATGAGCATCTAGCCGTCTGTTCCTGCCTTCTCAGATGAGCATCTAGCCGTCTGTTCCTGCCTTCTCAGATGAGCATCTAGCCGTCTGTTCCTGCCTTCTCAGATGCTTCCCCCCTTTCCCCCCTTTCCCCCCTTTCCCCCCTTTCCCCCCTTTCCCCCCCTTTCCCCCCTTTCCCCCCTTTCCCCCCTTTCCCCCCTTTCCCCCCTTTCCCCCTTTCCCCCTTTCCCCCCTTTCCCCCCTTTCCCCCCTTTCCCCCCTTTCCCCCCTTGTGTTCCAGCTCGCCTGTACTCCGTCGTCTGTACCAGGCTCTCCCCCCCTTCCCTTCCCGCCCCTCTCCCCCTCTCCCTTGTCTCCTCTTCCCCTGTTCTCTATCGTCTGTACCAGCACAGCCTGGAGTCCATTCACCGGCTTGAGGGCATGGACAGACGGCTAGAGAGGCACAGCGCAACACCTGCTATACCTACTGAACCAGGCTCTCCCCTCCTTCCCTTCCCCCCCCCCCTCCCCCTCTCCCTTGTCTCCAGTTCGCCTGTGATCCATCGTCTATACCAGCTCAACCAGGAGGCCATCCATTGGCTTGGAGACATCAACAGACGGCTAGAGAGGCACAGCGCAACACCTGCTATACCGACTGAACCAGGCCCTAACCCCCTTCCCTTCCCCCCCCCTCCCCCTCTCCCTTGTCTCCAGTTTGCCTGTACTCCGTCGTCTATACCAGCACAACCAGGAGGCCATTCACTGGCTTGAGGGCATGGACAGACGGCTAGAGAGGGACGCAGCACACCTCAACAGCGTGCTTGACCGAGCCATACAGGTAGGCTTGGTAGATACCCAACCTTCTTGGTAGGCTTGCTGGATTCTGATCCATATAGGTAGGCTTGGTAGATACCGTGGCATACAGATAGGCTCGGTAAATGCCACGCTATTCAGGCAGTAACACTTCTGAGCCCTTCTGGTGGGCTCGGTAAATACCATGGTGTGTAGGTAGGTCCGGTAAAGCAGGGGCGCAAAGAAACATTTTACCTAGCAGGATAGCTGAGGTCGGGCCTCGGGTATAGAGGAGGCATCTGCTCTGCTGGGTTGGAACGCAATGCTGAGCGGAAATGCCATGCTTCCCTTTCCTCCCCTCCCACCCAGCAACTGAGCTGCAGAAGGTGTGTAAAGGAATGGAGGTGAGGTAAGGAATGGAGGTGCGGTAAGGAATGGAGGTGCGGTAAGGAATGGAGGTGCGGTAAGGAATGCAGGTGAGGCTCGAGCAGCAGTGAGCAACCACGCGACAGCAGAGGCGGTCCTCAGAGCAGCTGACATATGCCCTGTCTTCCTCCTCTTCTTTTGAGTCGAATCAAAACCGCGTGTCATGAGTCTGCTTTTGAGTCGACTCAAAACCGCGTGTAATGAGTCTGCTTTTGAGTCGACTCAAAAGCATATGCCCTGTCTTCCTCCCCTCCCCTCCCCTCTCTACCCCCCCGTTCCTCCCTACCCTCCTTACCCTCCTTACCCTCTGCAGCAACTAAGCAAGGAGAGGGACCAAGCCGAGGCACAAGCAACAGTTATCGACCAGACGACAGCAGACGCCCTGCTTGCTGCCACCAGTATAGAGGAGGCATCAGCTGCGCTGCAAGAAATGCAGGCGACCACTGTTGACCTGGGGAAGCTGGCAGCGAGGGAGAGGGGGGAACGGGATAAGGGGAAGGCATCGGCCAACAGGGGGGGGACGGAGGGGAAGGAGGGGAAGAAGGGGAAGGAGGGGGAGGGGAAGGAGGGCAGCGGAGTGGGAAAAGGCGTAAGGGAGGAAGATAAGAGTCCTCTGGTGGAGTGTTTGCGGATGTATACTCGGGCACAGGGCCTCGAGAAGAGGTTCCACGCAGGTGAGGTCCCTCCCTCCCTCCCTCCCTCCCTCCCTCCCTCACGTTGCTGGTAGATCTGCCGCCCGCTACTATTGAAAGGGAGCTGGGGGTCACAGCAGAACCGTCAACAATTGGAGGAGGAGGAGATGCTGACCGTCCATCTCCTCCCCTCCCTGCGCCAGCCCTGCAGGTGTTCCAGCAACACGACAATTTTTAGGCGCCTCAAAACTTTTTTTGAGGATTTTTTAGGCGCCCCAAAATTTCCCCCCGCCAGCCCTGCAGGTGTACCAGCAGCACGACAGGGAGCTCGCCATGCGCCAGTTCATGCTGGCACGGCTCAAAGACCTGGACGGCTACCGCCCGCTGCTGAGGGAGCTGGGGATCACTGCCGCCCAGGCGGACGCCACAGCAGAGGCTATGGACGGCAAAAACTGTACGTTGTATGATTATAAAGGGGGGTTCCTAGGGAGCTGGATGGTTACCAGCCACTGCTGGGGGAGCTGGGGATCAGTCCTGCCCAGTCAAATGCCGCTGCCGAGGCAATGGACAAGAGCAACCGTGAGTGCGTATGTGACTATATGGGGGGGGACTATGGATCTGGTGACTTTTGAGTCGACCAAAAAATCCCTAGGGATCTGGACAGGGCAGCTGCTGGCCACTGGGCGTTACCGAGGGAGCCGGGAATCAGTGCCGCCCAGACGAAAGGGACCCGACCCTCCATCCCATGCACGTCTTTCCCATCCACGTATGGCTAAAACCACCACCAAGTGGTGTTCTCTTGAAAGGGACCCGACCCTCCATCCCATGCACGTCTTTCTCTCCCTCTTTTCCTGTGCATTTCTCCTCCTACCAGCCAAAAGGCAGCGACTTCAGGGTACCTTTCTCATGTGGTAACAGCGCTCTTCTCTTCTCCTCCTGGTTTGACTGCAAGGGACCCGACCGTTGAGGCGCCTCAAAACGCCTCAAAAGTCAGGCCTTTCTCATGTGGTATCAGAGCTCTTCTCTCCTCCTGGTTTGACTGAGAGGGACCTGACCCGACCACTCATCTGCATCAGCATCTGTCTCTCCTCTCACCTCTTCCCCTTCATTTCTGTTTCTCCTACCCCTTCCCCAGCCAGCAAGAAGCGGCTGCAGGCCTTTCTGATGTGGTATCCGCTCTTCTCCTCCTGGTTCGACCGAGAACGGTCGGGCCTTGCTTCCGCATCAGCATTCACAACTCCCTATCCTCCTCTCTCTCTTCTTGTGCTCCCCACTGCACCCACCCAGCCAGCAAAAAGCAGCTGCATGCACTCCTGATGTGGTACCAGCTCTTCTCCTCCTGGTTCAATCGCGAGGGGCCCGACCACCCATCCACACCAGCATTTATAACTTTTCCTCTCCTCCCTTCTCCTTCATTTTCTTTTGGGGCGCGGTGCTTTGGGTTCAGAAAAGGCAAAAAGTTCGAACTTATAGAAGGGTTTAACACGTTTCTGTGTGATGCAGTGGGTTTTACTATGGTGAAGCACGGTTAGCGTTCGAAATATTGCATCTTCTGCACAAAGCACCACGCCCTTATGTGTGTTGCCTACTCCTTCCCCAGCCAGCAAGAAGCAACAGCAGGCCTTTCTGATGTGGTATCAGCTCGTCTCCTCCTGGTTCGACCGAGAAGGACCCAACCACTCATCGCGTCAGCATTCACAACTCCCTCTCCCCTTCTCCCCCTCATTCGTGTTTCTCCTCTCATTCTTCTTTCTCCTCTCTCTTCTTGTGCTCCCTACTGCACCCACCCAGCCAGCAAGAAGCGGCTGCAAGCCTTTCTGATGTGGTATCCGCTCGTCTCCTCCTGGTTCGATCGCGAGGGGCCCGACCACCCATCCGCATCAGCATTTGTGGCCAACGCACAATCCGATCGCGACGCCAGCCTGGCACGAGCCACGTCAGCATCATCCGCCCTACGGGGTTTCCAAGAAAGGCTTCTTGGGGATTGTGGGCTGCGGTTACCACACAGTAACTGGACGGCACAACAGGACGAAGTTTTGGCTCGGTTTCACACTGTAGCTGCCGCAGCTGGTGCCGAGCCTCAGTGCATGGATTGGGATAAGCTCGATCCTGGGTATGTGGATCGGCCGGGCCTGGAGGCCCCGCCATACGTCTGGCAAAAGGATCCAGACCTGTTTCCGGACCAGTACCCGGAGGTTCGGGCGCATTTCACCTTCTTACTTCGGTATTACGGGGCTCCTGAGCAGGTAAAACTGTTGGTGGATCGGTTATACGGGTGTACAAATGGGATGCTGGGCACCGGAAAATTGCCGGGAGTTCGGGCAGAGTTACTTGTAAATGTTTTTGAGCCGGAAAAGACTCTCGGGCAGTGGATGGACATGTGGAAAGAAACTGATCCAGGGATTTTTGTCGTCCCGGTATTACCCCATTCGGTCGACGATTCCCGGGGGTATAATGAGTTGGCATGGATGGCAAGAGGTGACCTGCTAGTGCTGCTACAGGACGACTCCTTGCCGCCCGAGAGCTGCGATTGGTTGCAGGATCTGCTCTCGGCGTTTTCCGCATGGCCCCGGCTCGGAATGGTCGGCTATCGGACGGACAACATGACGAACCTCGCCGCCCCGACAGCTGGCAAATTCGCTCGTTTCTGGGCGGATTTCGCTCGAGAGGAGGATGAGGTGGAGGGTGGGGGGGAGGAGGAGAAGGGGAGAGAAGGGGCAGGTGAAACTACTGTAGGGGGAAGAGACACGGGAGGGGAAGCGACAAGGGAGAGGAGGGTAGGTGGAGTTAAGGGGATGAAGAGGAAGGATGTGGAGACGGGAGTGCGCATGCATTTCACAGGGCTGGTTACCGGGGTGCCGCTGGTGGTGCGGCGCAACGTGCTGAGGCGCCTGGGAGGATTGGATGAGGCGGACGCCAGGGAGGGGGAGGCGGCTATTGTTTCGGACTGGCATCTGGCAACAAGGGTGTGGCTGTCAGGGTACCAGGTGAGGGTGTGGCTGTCAGGGTACCAGGTGAGGCAGAGCAGGTGAAGGTCTGCCCACTGGTGGTTGGGGGGGGTGTGCTGAAGAGAGTGCTCTGAGGCGCATGGCCCTTGGGGTTGGATGAGGCGCATGGCCCTTGGGGTTGGATGAGGCGCATGGGGGGTTGGATGAGTCGCATGGCCCTTGGGGTTGGATGAGGCGCATGGCCCTTGGGGTTGGATGAGGCGCATGGGGGGTTGGATGAGGCGCATGGCCCTTGGGGTTGGATGAGGCGCATGGCCCTTGGGGTTGGATGAGGCGCATGGCCCTTGGGGTTGGATGAGGCGCATGGGGGGTTGGATGAGTCGCATGGCCCTTGGGGTTGGATGAGGGGCATGGCCCTTGGGGTTGGATGAGGCGCATGGGGGGTTGGATGAGTCGCATGGCCCTTGGGGTTGGATGAGGGGCATGGCCCTTGGGGTTGGATGAGGCGCATGGGGGGTTGGATGAGGCGCATGGCCCTTGGGGTTGGATGAGGCGCATGCCCCTTGGGGTTGGATGAGGCGCATGGCCCTTGGGGTTGGATGAGGCGCATGGAGGGTTGGATGAGGCGCATGGCCCTTGGGGTTGGATGAGGCGCATGGCCCTTGGGGTTGGATGAGGCGCATGGCCCTTGGGGTTGGATGAGGTGCATGGCCCTTGGGGTTGGATGAGGCGCATGGCCCTTGGGGTTGGATGAGGCGCATGGCCCTTGGGGTTGGATGAGGCGCATGGGGGGTTGGATTCTATGTTGTCAAAAACGCTTTTGCTAGTTTGCGTTTTGCGTTTAAACGCAATTGTTTAAACGCAAAAACGAGTCAAAACGCTCGAACGCACCTCAAAAAGTTTTCGGGCTGCCCGGAACTGAAAATCGAAAACTTTGTGATTGGGCTACTGGAAACGCGATTCTGAAAGTCGCGTTTTCTGCGGGGTCGAATTTTGACCCGCGGGCTTCAGCCTGGTGAAAAAATTGCAGGAAAATAGCGAAATCGCTACATGGCGACTGCAAGCAGACGTTCGCCATGTCGCGAAATCCAACCCAACTCCCTCCCTTTCACCGCACTTAAAGCGCGTGACCCAAGAACGATCAAGACTCAAAGTCTTTGAATCTTGGTCAGAGAGGCGAAATTCGCACGGGGGTTGCGAAACGAAAAATGGGATTGGGGAAGCGCGAAAGTCACGGACCTCGCCTGCGGGAGATGGGCGCTACGTGACCGCAAACGCTCTGGCGGGGCAGCGTTTAGCGTTTAAACGCTGCGTTTAAACGCTAAACGCTAAACGCGTGGTAAAACGCTAAACGCTCGGGTAAAATTTTAGGGGCAGCCCGACGAAAAAATCGACCAAAATTTTTTCGCGACATTGCGACCTGGCGAATTCAACTAGACATTCGCCAAGTCGCAAATCCCAACCGAGCGACCAAAAAACGCATCCAATTCTTTTGCCCCGCTCAACCGCACAGCACCCTGTTCATCTACGGCCACTCCAACCTAACCACTTTCTCCCCTTCTTCCATCACAATCTCTTCCCCATGAGAAACGGGAACCCTAGAGTTCCGCGCGACATAGCCGTAGATCAGATTTAGTCGTCATTCTCTCATCTCCCACGCCTACTCACCCTTGCCACCTAATTTCGCGCTAAGTTAAGGGCCCACGCCCATGTCGACCCCCCCTAATGGTGCTGCAGACGCTAATCCTACAGCGTCTGCAGCGTCAAATATTTACGAGGCAGAGTCTAATCATGATGTTTACAAGCATTACAAAGTTAGAGTTAAGGAGGCCGGGGTCGCCACAGCTAGGGTGGAATGTCGTTATTGCGGGCTGTCTTTTGTAGGAATTCCCAACCGGTGCGCTATGCATTTCGCGGAGTGGGAAGGACAGGGGCGGCGGGAGGTCAAGGAATGTCCCTCGGCGCCAAAGGAGGTGAGGGAGGCAATGCAGGCACTATACGAAGGGAAGGCGTCTGTCAAGGCCCAGAAGCGTAAGGAGGTCGCGGATGCGGTGGAGGCCGTGGGGGGAGGGGGAAAGCGGGGCAAGATAACTACGTATTTCAGCAACGGCGCGGCATGTGCTAAGCGTGAGGCGGATGCGGCATTGTGCCTCATGTTTGCAGCCCTCCGCATCCCAGAACGTCATGCCGACCACCCACTCTTCGTCGATGCCGTGCATGCGGTCGCTCGTGCGGGAACAACGTACGTGCCGCCCAAACGCACGTACATTGGAGGAGCGGGGTTGAAGGAGTGTCGCACCCGCATCGATCTCGCCCTTGATGCACTCAAACAGAATTGGGAGAGGCATGGCGTCACCGTGGCTTCAGACATGATGACAGACCGGTGCGGGAGGCCGCAAGCGAACGTCATGTTAGTCAATGACTTCGGCGCCATGTTTGCCGACTGCATTGACTGCCGCATGGAGACGAAGACAGGCGGGTACATTGCCGGCATCCTCCGCCCTATCATCCAGAAAATCGGGCCTGCGAATGTGGTGGCGCTATGCACGGATGGGGGGAGTAACTACGGCAAGGCCTGCAAGGTGTTGAGGGAGGAGTGGCCGCACATTGAGCATGTGCCGTGCGCCACTCATGTCCTAGACCTGCTCATGGAAGACGTGGGAAAGCAGGCGTGGGCGAAGAGGGTGGTTGAGGGTGCGAACGAGGTGATAAATTACGTCCGCAATCACCACTGGACGAGGAACTTCTTGCGCGAGCCAGGGGAGCTGAGGGGCAAGGTGCTGCAGCTGTTGAAGCCAGCGGGCACCCGGTTCGGAACCCAGTACATTGCAGTGTCGAGGCTTGTAGACCTCCACGGGAAGCTGACTGTGTTGGTGGCAGGCGAAACGTGGAAGGCGTGGGCCGTAGGGAAGCAGAAGGCAGCGGCCGATTCCATCCAGAGCATTGTGCTTAACCAGGCTTGGTGGGCAGCAGCTGAGTTCTTTGTCAAGCTGTTGAAACTGCCTTACCTTGTGATGCGGTCGACTGACTCCTCGGCCAAGGGGATGATGGGGCAGATTTATGAGCTCATGCTCAAACTCACTGTGGACGTGACTGATCTGTTGAAGAAGGAAGACTTGCAGCTGACGCCGGAGGATAAGGAGGGGATTGGGGAGATCATCCAGCATCGGTGGGACGTCAGCATGGCTTGCCCACTGCATGCTGTTGGCCGGATCCTCAACCCGGCCAACCAGGTTGCTAAGATCTTTGGCCCCGACAAGGAGTGCACCGACCTGTTTAAGGAGTTCATTGGCCGATACAGCAGCACCATCACCATCGATCGTAAGGAGGCAAAGGAGAAGAGTGCGGTAGTGGTACTGCAGGAGGGAGTGACTGCATTCCTGAAGCTGAGGGGTTCCTTCGGCAAACCCGACGCAATAATGCAGCGGCAGAAAGTGAAGGAGGGGAGTCTAAGTATGGAGGACTGGTGGACCTGGCACGGGACCGACCACCCCGAGCTGGCAGAGCTCGCGTGTCGTGTGCTCACGCAGCCGGTGTCTGCATCCAGCTGCGAGCGCGGGTGGGCAGTGTGGGAATCGGTGCACACTGCACGCCGCAACCGTCTCGGGCCCGAGAAGTGCCGGGACTTGGTGTTTGTTGCGCACAACTGGAACGTTGTGCGCAACTGGCACAAAACCAGCGAGGAGACTAGGGCGGTTCTTGCGGGGAACATCCCGGATGCTCCCATTCCAAAAGGATACAACGTCGATGAGGAGGGGCAGTTAGAGGAGGATGAGTATGGAGATGAGCCCGTGCTCGAGGACGAGTATGGGGAGGAGGAGGAGGAGGAGTAGGAGGAGATGAGGGAGTGGCGGCGGCGGTTAAGAAGCATGGGGGGCTTTTGGGTAGGAGGGTGGAGGAAGGAAGACGGAGGGTGCTGTTGATTAGAGGGTGGTAGTAGGTAGTACATGTGGTTGTCGTTGACATGTGGATTTGACATGCCAATTTTTTTTTATGTGATATAATTTGGAGGAAAATTGTTGTCAACCATAATCCCCTTGCCTCCCCCTACCTATCCCAGGTTTTTTTACCCTGCCCGGAAATTTTTTTCCAGCTGCCCGAGAGTGCGTTTACCGTAGCGTTTAGAAACTCAAGCAGCAGCGTTTAGCGTTTAAACGCTAGCGTTTAAACGATGCGTTTAAAACGCTAAACGCGTTTGCGGTCACGTTTGGCGACGTTTTGGCGACGAGTGGAAACAGGGAGGGTGAGAACCAGAGTTGGGGCGCGTACAATATAGAGAAAAAACCGACCCTACTATGTAACTAGGACTGTTGGGCCAAAGATGATCGGGCAAAAGCACACGTGAGTCACCTGAAACACGAAGCAAAATATTGCGGAAACACGCCCGGCCTGGCCCCAACCGAACCCACTGGTAACTATATTACAACGCCAAATCTACAACATGAACCCTATGCAATTGTGTAACTAAAGTCTGCAAAAAACAAACAATGAGCTCACACAAAGGCCATGCGTAACAACAGGAATATAGTACATAGGATAGATGCATTCTGGCTGTTTCTTTTCAAACAGAGTATGTCATAACAAAGTCTTTTTTATTAACACGAGCCTTAAGGGTGTGGTGGTGTGAGGGAGAGCGTGGAAGAGGTGGGCAGAGTGCAAGTTGATGCGTGCAGTGCCCTGCGCGTGTCATGACCCACTGTTGGGAGAGCAAGGCGAGGGGAAGGCTGACGGAAAAGAAAGGGGGAAGTGAGTGAATGAGGGATGAGCAGAGGGGACCAGGAGGATGAGCTGAGGCCAAGGAGTGGGTGAGCTGAGGCCAAGGAGTGGGTGAGCTGAGGCCAAGGAGTGGGTGAGCTGAGGCCAAGGAGTGGGTGAGCTGAGGCCAAGGAGTGGGTGAGCTGAGGCCAAGGAGTGGGTGAGCTGAGGCCAAGGAGTGGGTGAGCTGAGGCCAAGGAGTGGGTGAGCTGAGGCCAAGGAGTGGGTGAGCTGAGGCCAAGGAGTGGGTGAGCTGAGGCCAAGGAGTGGGTGAGCTGAGGCCAAGGAGTGGGTGAGCTGAGGCCAAGGAGTGGGTGAGCTGAGGCCAAGGAGTGGGTGAGCTGAGGCCAAGGAGTGGGTGAGCTGAGGCCAAGGAGTGGGTGAGCTGAGGCCGAGTGGGTGAGCCGAGGCCAAGGAGTGGGTGAGCTGAGGCCAAGGAGTGGGTGAGCCGAGGCCAAGGAGTGGGTGAGCTGAGGCCAAGGAGTGGGTGAGCTGAGGCCAAGGAGTGGGTGAGCTGAGGCCAAGGAGTGGGTGAGCTGAGGCCAAGGAGTGGGTGAGCTGAGGCCAAGGAGTGGGTGAGCTGAGGCCAAGGAGTGGGTGAGCTGAGGCCAAGGAGTGGGTGAGCTGAGGCCGAGTGGGTGAGCCGAGGCCAAGGAGTGGGTGAGCTGAGGCCAAGGAGTGGGTGAGCCGAGGCCAAGGAGTGGGTGAGCTGAGGCCAAGGAGTGGGTGAGCTGAGGCCAAGGAGTGGGTGAGCTGAGGCCAAGGAGTGGGTGAGCTGAGGCCAAGGAGTGGGTGAGCTGAGGCCAAGGAGTGGGTGAGCTGAGGCCAAGGAGTGGGTGAGCTGAGGCCAAGGAGAGGGGGAGCTGAGAGGCAAGAGAGCGGGAGCTGAGAGGCAAGAGTCAGGCCCCACCATCACAACCTCACTCCCGCCTTGTAAATCAGGGTGACAGGGAGCAGGGGAGCAGGGGGAGAAACGGATCAAGGGGGTGGAATGAAAACAGGGGGAGACAATGGGAGCAGCGGAAAGGAATGAGAGGGAAGTGGGGGGGGGGGAGGGGGGGAGCGCGGATGGGAGAGGAGGACAGGGGGAAAGAGAGAGGAGGTTAGGGGGAGAGGGAGAGGAGGATAGGGGGAAAAGGAGAGGAGGATAGGGGGAGAGGGAGAGGACGATAGGGGGAAAGGGAGAGGAGGACAGGGGGAAGGTAGAGGATGATAGGGGCAAAGGGAGAGGAGGATAGGGGGAAAGGGAGAGAAGGACAGGGGGACGGGGAGAGGATGATATGGAAACAGAGGGGAAAGAGAGGGGGCGCAGAGGGGAAAGAGAGGGGGAGCAGAAGGGAATGTGAAGGGAAACTGGGGGGAAGGAGACGGAAAACTGGGGGGAAGGAGAGGGGAAACGGAGGGGGGAAGGAGAGGGGGAACGGAGGGGAAGGACTGGACAGGAGGAGAGGTGGGATCGAAGACGGGTAGAGCAGGAGGCAAGAGGAGGAGGCCAAAGAGAGGGGGACCTGAGGTAAAGGAGAGGGAGGAGGGGAGGGGAAAGAGAGGCGGTGGAAGCAGAGAGGAGACGAGGGGAAAATGGAGAGGAGGATATGAGGAAGAGAGGGGGAACCATAGACGACGGGAGGGGAAAGGGAGAGGAGGAGATGCGGAAACAAACGGGAAAATATAGGATATATAGGAGGCTTGACAGGGAAAGAGGGGAAAACAGGGAGGAGAAGAGGGAGAGAACCGGAGTGGAGAAAGGGGCAAAGAGGAGGGGAGATGAGGGGAAAGGGAGGGGGAGCTATGGGGAAAGAGAGGGGATGCAGAGGAGATCCGAGGGGAAAGGGAGATGGATCTGGGGGGGAAAAGATTGGGGGGGTGTGGGAAACGAGGGGGAGCAGAGCTGAAGGGAAGGAGAGGAGGAACTGAGGGGAATGAGAGGGGGGAACTGAGGGGAATGAGAGGGGGGAACTGAGGGGAATGAGAGGGGGGAACTGAGGGGAATGAGAGGGGGGAACTGAGGGGAATGAGAGGGGGGAACTGAGGGGAGGGAGAGGGGGGAACTGAGGGGAAGACAGAGAGGATGAGGGGAAAACGGGTGTGGGCAGCGTGGGAAATGGGGAGGAAGAGAGGGGGAAACATAGACGCGGAGAGCGTGATGCGGAGGGGAGGAGAGGGAGGGAGCAGAGAGGAGGAGAGTGGGATCGCGGGGACAGCAGGAGAGGGGGAAACGGAGAAGGGTAGAGCGGTAAGGGAGACGGGCGTCGAAGGGTAGGGCTGCAGCTGCGACCTGGCGAAGGGAGATGGTCGCGGAGGGGAAGGGTGAAGGCGGGGAGGGCTGCACGTGCGACAAGGGAAGGGAGATGGGTGATGTGGGGAAGTGCGACTTGGGGGAGGGCTGCACGTGCGACGAGGAGGACGGAGGAGGTTGACGAGGGGGAAGGGACTTGGGCGACGAGGGGATGGGAGATGGACCTTCGAGATGAAACCCCGCTGAGTGGCCAGGGGAAAGGCGAGGAGTGGCTCACTGGATATTCGTTGAGAAGCGAATGGTCCGGCACGCGCTTGAAATTCCCCAGGTCTTTCGATTTTCGTCGGTAATGCCCGAAGAAAGTGTAAGATAGCTGCGTACAAATGCGCCTGGCGTTAGTGCTCGAAAATGCCTCGGCGCTTGTGTGCTAGGGCGAGATACCTACGTGCCTTGTATGCGTTGCCAATAAGGCAAAAAATGAGACTGCATTGGCTGTTGATAGTGAGTTAGGTCGTCATTCTCCTACGCTACGGCTGCCATTGTCATGAGTCCCAAGTAAGTCCTAGGCACTTCGAGTCTTGATCCACCCTCCCGTCGTTGCTGGTTGCAGGTGCGACGCTCGCAGTCGCACCCCAGCGGTGGTTGGGGGCTCGACCAATCACTTCTCGTCGTTCAAGGTTTACCTCTCGTCGCTGAATTTCAGGGTAACCGTGCGTACTCAGGTTGGGTTTCGCGAGCGACCAAGAATCAAAGACTTTGAGTCTTGATCGTTCTTGGGTCACGCGCTTTAACTCCCCCCCGTCTACAACATCCAACCATTTCTCACAAATGCTCCAGTCTCCCCCCCTTACCTCCCATCCTGTTTTGCGACAAAAGCTAAAACAGAGCGCGCCAGCTCACGCAATTTCCGCTTAGCGTTTCATACGCTAAACATGTTCAGAGCACCATAGCCTTGAGTCGCGAAGCCGAGCCGGTAGTCGCCCCCTCCGCCATTCCCCACCTCCCCCCTCTTTCCCTTGCCCGGCCAAAAAATTTGCCTGCCCGGGCATTGGTAGGATGAGGCGCATTGGGGGTTGGATGAGGCGCATGGAGGGTTGAAGGAGGCGCATGGAGGGTTCAGACGAGGCGTATGGGGTTTTGGACGAGGCGCATGGGGGTTCGGACGAGGCGCATGGGGGGTTGGATGAGGTGGATGACTGGGAGGGGGAAGCTGCAGTTATCTCGCTTCCCTACCTCAATCCCCAGCTTCCATCTTCGCTTTCCTTCTTCTTTCTCATTCGAAAATCTTGTTTTTTGCAGCTGCCTTACATAATAACTACTCTTATCCCTCCATGTGACACCCTGTGTCCTCCCTCCCTCACCTTCTCTGGCCTCCACAACATCGCAGGTTGCTTGCCTCGGCTTTGCAAGGGGAACTCCGGCCGCTCCCCTCTCCAGCATACCATGTCGCTCCCCTTCCCCACTTAACATCTCAGGTGGATAACCTCTACCTCCACAAGGGGACCTCTGGTGACGCTGGTGCCTTGTGCCACTTCCTTGAGGCTTCACATCACATAACCTTTTCTCCCTGTCACTCTCTTTGTTGCTGCTGGCGCTGGTGGCTCTTCCCCCCACATAACATCTCAGGTTGCTCGCCTATACCTTCGCAAGGGGACCTCTGGTGACGCTGGTGACTTTGATCGCATCTCACGAACTGGTTACCGCCGCGTAACATATCGCCCGAGTTTCCTTGAGAAGCCGGATGCTGCTGTAGATTATGGCCAATACGACGCGTTTTATACAGAATATCACGAACAGATAAAAACGGAGGTGATAAGGCTGAATTTTTTGCTCACTAAGTGATTCTCATTGTGGCTGGAGTACATAGAAAAGCTTTTCATAAAATACTTCCAATATATGAAAGGCTGAACAGACTAAACCAGAACCATCTCGATATAGCATACCATGGCAGTGCTTGGCGCTGTAACCTATGGCCAATGCAATCAGCATTCTACAGTATATGAAGGGCATTATCTGCGTGACACATTATTAGTATGAGCAATTCGCGTAGGAAGGTGACAGCAGTGCAGTGTAGAGAAACACTAATTGTTTTGGTTCACTGCTAGTAAGAGAATGCATCCTCTTTTTCTACAGGGAGCAAGCTCTCGTGGATGAAGGAGAATTCCGCACAATACCCCGGAAAATAGGCATTCCTTTCCACGTGAAACAGCCGGAAACCCATGTTCTGAATGCCGTAGAAATACTTCTCCATCAGACGCAGTGTGCTTGCACTGCGAGGGGGAGAGGAGGGAGGGAGGGAAAGAAAGGCGGAGAGCAAGCTTCTGAGACGACATAAATGCAGGTGTGAAACAGTCAGGAACCTTAACTATGCCATACATATCCTTCTCCATCAAACGCAGTGTGCTGGCGCTGCCAGGAGGGCAGGGAGGAGAGAGGACGATGAGGGGAGGGAGGGAGGAGGGGGGAGAGACACAGGCAAGCCTGATTTTTTAGTCGACTCAAAAATCACCAGGAGGGGGGAGAGACACAGGCAAGCCTGTGGAGTCGACTGAAAAGGTGGGGAAGAGCAGCAGCTGGGACCCCAACCATGTGCCGAGTGCTATAGAAATCCCTTGAGAAATACTTCTCCATCAGGTGACGAGAGCCCGCACTCTCATATTGAAGGTGATATTTGAGACCAGCTAGCACTCTCTAATAAGGAGATCAGGCGAGCCCTTGAGTAGTAGGTGACCTTTTTGGATTTTAAGAAAGAATCTCCATGGGGTGATGCGTGCGAGCACTGTCAAACAATAGGTAAGAAACGATAAGATAAGAAACGATAAGATCAGAAACGATTAGATAAGTTGAACCTTTGTCTTGCGGGCCAAGCTGTATCAGGCAGGACATGTTCTGTTATTGAGAATTCTAAAAAAACAGACTCCCACCTGGAACACACTCTCACCTCAATGTACTCCCTCCCCGCCTGCTGCATCGCCTCCTCAAGCGAGATGACTTTTGAGTCGACTCAAAAGTCATCACAGAACTCACCCGTGGAGTTCTAATCCTTCAACACATCAATGTATGCCCTCTGCGCGCTCTACATCGCCTCTTCAAGCGTCACCAACTTGACCCCCGGGAACTCCTGCGTCGCGCCATTTTGTTTCAGGCCCCCCTTGAGATGAAAGCCTAGAATGTAGCCCCAGGCACTCACCCGTGAAACTCGATCAGCAGCTGGCCAATGGGGGGGTTCCTCCTGGCAGTGTATCGCTCCATGAGGTCATCCAGCACGGGGTACTCGCACCCCTCGCAGTCAATTTTAAACACATCGATGTACTCCCTCCCCTCATGCTGCATCGCCTCTTCAAGTGTCACGAACTTGGTCCCCGGGAACTCCCGCGTCGCGTTCGCCTTGGTCCGCAACCCCACCAGCCCCACGTTCCGAAAGCGCATGAACGGCTGGGATTGCATCTCGGCGAGAGTGGTCACGTTGAGGAACGGATCGAAGGTGAAGGGCTTGGCGTGGATCACCTTCTGGACGGCTTTCTCGAAGCTGGGGTCGCCGTGGCTACCAATGCTGTGAGCAGGGGAGGGGGCACGAGGGACAGATTGGGGGGGGGGGGGGGGGGGGGTAAAAGGGGGGGGATCGAAGGTGAAGGGCTTCGCGTGGATCACCTTCTGGACGGCTTTCTCGATGCTGGGGTCACCATGGTTGCCGATGCTGTGAGTAGGGGAGGGGGCACGAGGGACAGATTGGGGGGGGGGGGCGGGGGTAAAAGGGGGGGGATCGAAGGTGAAGGGCTTGGCGTGGATCGCCTTCTGGACGGCTTTCTCGATGCTGGGGTCACCATGGTTGCCGATGCTGCAGGTCGGGGCAGCAGGGGCAGTAGGGAAGATCAAGGGGAGAGTGTGAGTGAGGGGGGTGTTAGGACGAAACGGGTCCAAGGAGCAGGGCTTGGCGTGTAACATTTCTTAGACGGCTTTTTCAAAGCTGGGACCGCCGAAGCTGCCAGCACTGCGAGCAGAGGCATGACGGCGCAACAGGAGGAGGGTGTCGGGCAAACGAGGGCGGGAGGGGAGGAAGGCGGGGAGAGGGGAAGGGGGGGGAAAGGGGGGGCATGGCGGGAGGGGGGAGGGACATATGGATTGTGGATTCGGATTCAGGGGCTTACGAGGCAGGAGGGGGAGGAAGCGAGGGGGGGTGCGACAGATGGATGGTTTGGAGGGAGACTTTTGAGTCGACACAAAAGGCAGGGATGGGAGGGAGGAACGTTTGAATGAAACGGTTTTTGAGTCGACTCAAAAATCGACTCATTGCACACGTGATTTTGCAGGGTGTTTTTGAGAATTCTCAAAAACACCCTGCAAAATTACACACGTGATGGATGGTTAGGAGGGATGGGAGGGAGGAATGTTTGAATGAAACGGTTCTCATGAAGCAAGTCATTGGCATCTGATCTGAACCTGCTCTGCTCGCCTAAACACCGGTGCTGAACCTGCTGGGCGCACCAGAACGGTGATCTTTGGCTTTGAGAAGAACGGCCTCATGACACACGTCAGTGGCATCAGAAGAGGAGGCTGAACTATGACCTGCTCTGCTCACCTGAGGAGAGTGGTTTCTTTATCCGCTGGGCTCACCTGAGGAGAGTGGTTTCTGTATCCGCTGGGCTCACCTGAGGAGAGTGGTTTCTGTATCCGCTGGGCTCACCTGAGGAGAGTGGTTTCTGTATCCGCTGGGCTCACCTGAGGAGAGTGGTTTCTTTATCCGCTGGGCTCACCTGAGGAGAGTGGTTGCTTTATCCGCTGGGCTCACCTGAGGAGAGTGGTTTGTTTATCCGCTGGGCTCACCTGAGGAGAGTGGTTTGTTTATCCGCTGGGCTCACCTGAGGAGAGTGGTTTCTTTATCCGCTGGGCTCACCTGAGGAGAGTGGTTTCTTTATCCGCTGGGCTCACCTGAGGAGAGAGGTTTCTTTACCCGCTGGGCTCACCTGAGGACGGTGATCTTTGGCTTTGAGAAGAACGTCCTCACGGCGCACGTCAGCGGTATCTAAAGACTTGGAGAGTTTGACCTGCTCTCGCGAGCGACGCATGTGACGAAGAAGACTCTGAGCTTTGACCTTTTCTGCTCACCTGAAGACTAGTGCCTCACCTGAAGACTAGTGCCTCACCTGAAGACTAGTGCCTCACCTGAAGACTAGTGCCTCACCTGAAGACTAGTGCCTCACCTGAAGACTAGTGCCTCACCTGAAGACTAGTGCCTCACCTGAAGACTAGTGCCTCACCTGAAAACTAGTGCCTCACCTTAAGACTAGTGCCTCACCTGAAGACTAGTGCCTCACCTTAAGACTAGTGCCTCACCTGAAGACTAGTGCCTCACCTGAAGACTAGTGCCTCACCTGAAGACTAGTGCCTCACCTGAAGACTAGTGCCTCACCTGAAGACTAGTGCCTCACCTGAAGACTAGTGCCTCACCTGAAGACTAGTGCCTCACCTGAAGACTAGTGCCTCACCTTAAGACTAGTGCCTCACCTGAAAACTAGTGCCTCACCTTAAGACTAGTGCCTCACCTGAAGACTAGTGCCTCACCTGAAGACTAGTGCCTCACCTGAAGACTAGTGCCTCACCTGAAGACGGTGATCTTTGGCTTGGAGAAGAACGTCCTCATGGCGCACGTCCACTGCAGAGGAGGATCGCGGAGTGCGAGCGGGCGAGGGAGGGAGCGAGAGAGAGGGAGAGGGGCAGGCCGGACATGGAGAGAGGGGCTTGCGAGGAACAAGAGGGAATGGCTGAGTCTGAGAAGAGAGTCTTCATGATGCACGCCCACTGCACAGGCGGGTCGCGGAATGCAAGCGAGGGAAAGAGAGAGGGAGGGAGGGAGGGAGGGAGGTAGGGGAGCAGAGAGACGAGAGGCGAGGAGCAAGAGTGAGTGGCGCGCAGAGTAGCTGCCTTTGAGAAAAACGTCCTCATGACACATGTCCACTGCACGAGGAGGGCAGAGGAAGAGCGAAACCGAGAGGCCGGACGGACAGGAAAGGGGGTGGGGGGAAGGTAAGGGAGGGGAAGGGAAAGGGGGGGGAAGGGGAAGGGGGGGAGGGGGGGAGAGGAACAAGTGAGAGACACTACAGAAGATGAAGCGGGTGGCACACCGGTGGACTCGCCGCCCAGTAGACGAACTTTGGTATATCATTTTTGAGAATTCTAAAAAATGACACCTTCATTGCGCAGAGAGGTGACCGATCTTGCCGCCGTCACCAGCGCAACCGATGCGTCGCTCGCGAGGGCAGGGGTAGGTGGGGACGAAGATCAAGTCCCACATGCGCTTCACGCCCGTCAGTTTCACGAACATTGCACGCGTAAAACCCTCACCTTGCAGCATTGCATGCGTAAAATGCGTTTTGTTTTGGATAATTCTCAAAACAAAACATGCGCTTCAAGTCCATCAGTTTCACGAACATTACACGCCCAAATTCCTCACCTTGCCGCCATCGCTAGCCCTGCCGCTGCGTCGCTCGCGAGGGCAGGGGTAGGTGGGGACGACGATCAAGTCCCACATGCGCTTCACCTCCATTTCCCGCGGCTGCGGAAACCCTCCCCCTCCTCCCCCTCCTCCCTCCCCCCACCGAAGATGACAGTAAGAGCTTACCTTGCCGCCATCGCCAGCGCGGCCAATGCGCCTTTCGCGAGGGCAGGGGTAGGTGGGGACGAAAATGAAGTCCCACATGCGCTTCACCTCCATTTCCCTCGGCTGCGTCACCCCGCCGAACGCCTCCGCCAGCACCTCCGTCGCTTCCTGCGATGAGAATTCCCAGACAATCCCGAGGTTATATTAATGGGTATAAAGATTTGAGAGTGTATTTCTGTTCGGCAAACTGGTTATCTCCCGCGGCTGCGTCCCCCCGCCAAACGCCTCCGCCAGCACCTCCGTCTCCTCCTGCGATGACAAGATGACAATCCCGAGGCCACATGAGAGTCCTGGGGCCACATTGATGAGTATAAATCCTCGAGAGTGTACATAACGACGCAACCGACCTTACGTCATTTGAAGTAACGCGAAGCGAGAACATTGTACGCGAAACATTCTACCCTAAAAAAAAATCTGCTTCACGCTCAAATGCCCTCACCATGTTAAAAATAAAAACAGAAAAGTCTCACCATGTACGCTCTCTCTCGGTGACCGTGGCCTCCTGTGACATCCTTTGCTCGGATTCTGCCGTGTCTATCGGTGTATAATCCGTGTGATAATAGTGGTGCTTTGAGACGTCTCAACTCACCATGTGTGTTATTAATTTGGAATCCTTAAAAATATGAGTAAGATCCGTGTGACTTTATTCGTGCTTCGAGACGTCTCGACTCACCGTGTACGCTCTGTCTGCTTCCTGGAGCATCCGTTGCTCGAATGCTGCCGTGTCTCTCAGTGTATAATGTATCATGCTGCCGTGTGGCTCAGCGTTTAATCCGTGTGGTAATAGTCGTATTTTACCATGAAAGCTCTCGCCATCCTGTCAACTCACCACGTACGCTCGCTCTGCGTCCTGGAGCATCCGTTGCTCGAATGCTGCCGTGTCGCTGCAGTCGCTGGCCTTAGAAAGCTCGTCCGCGGTGGAGACAGACGACAAGAGCCGGTATTCCGGATACGCCGCGAGTGTCCGGTACAGAATGATCCCGAGAATCGTTAATAACCCGACGCCGATAAACACGCGTGCGCATTTGGCAAACCCCCGGGATTGCTGCTTCCCTTTGCCTTCCACATCCACCATCGAACCACATGATCGGCACCGCGCCATGGCGGATGTCTCGGTCTGCTCGCCGTCCGTCGAGCGGAAAGGTGCGTTACTAATAGGTAGTCGCCGTACCGGATTTCCGGGCTTTTGATATGGATTAGTTTCTGGCGGCGCGGGACTTTGACTATTCAGGGTCCTCCCTCTCAAGGTCCCGTTGTCCTGGAGGTCAGAACCCCCCGTGTTTAAAACGCCTTCCATTCACTCGACTGAGAGGCCTTAGCACACTAAGTAGGCACCTCTAACGTTTCGGAACAAAAAAAAAGAAGAGATTTCGTGTCTCAGAATCTCACCTCTAACATTTGTTACACACCCTAGAACTGCTCGGAAGCAAAACTGCTCATGCTGTGGAGCACATCTGACGAGAAAGGTGTGAGCGAAGCATCAACAAGCATCACAGGCTGGCATGGTTGATGGCATCACCATATAAACGCAAAAACGCAAATAACTGGGTAGAGCGTCAAAATGCAAGACAAGGTTCAAGGCACTCCAAGGCGACCTTTTCCTGACGTGAAAGTCCCGCCCGCCTGTTCCCCTCAAATTCCAGGTGGCTAAAGGGAAAGTGTATCATGGGCGGGGGGAAGTGTCAACCGTTTGTTCTTGCTCGAGAACCTAGACAACCACCCTAAACACTAACCATATCGTTCTAGAAACTAGAGTAATCGTAGGATACGCATTAGCGTGAGCCGTGTTGGAGAACAGCGTTGCAGGTTTGTAAATTTGCAACGCCTCCAGGAACACAGCATGCAAAGGGATGGAAATTGAGCCTTTAACAGCTGTTAAAGCGTAACGCTTGTTCAAGCAGGCACTCTTAGGTAAAGGTTAAAAGGAATCATGATCTCCTTGGTGTTGAGAGCTCAGATGCCACCCAAATGCCGAGCCTGAATGTAGAACCATTTTAGCAAAGCTTTTGGACCTTTTAACAGGCTTGTGGAAACTCACAGCGCTGGTGCGGGTAACTTGTAGGACCACGACCTTCAGGGTCTTGTAAAAGAAACAAATACCATTCTCTTCTGCGCGATGACTGGAGTGGGAGCGACGTATGGTGGCGACTGACACGGAGTTGTGTGGCAGTTCCCCCGCTGGGGTATCCGCTTTGGGTTCGCCTGGTGGAGTTCGACGGGAAGGGGACATTGACGAAATCTGTACAAATCAGGTGGAAGCCAATCAGAGATGTCGTATGGGTTGCTTGCAACACTCATGTCGGTGAGATATTCGTTGGCTGTCAGCGCTGCGACGACGCGACACCTCGTCAGGGAATAGCGAAACGGCTCGTTATGGAGTGGGAGCGTAGATACACGAGGGTCTGAAAACCTTAGGTCGCAACACTTAGAATAAGATTATTGCAAGTTAGCTGGAACAGCTCGCTGCATCACAAATTGCCCAACAAGGTCGTTGAAGAAGCCAGGCTGATCCATGTAGCACGCATGGCCCGCCCCTTTGAATATTACCTGAGCAGTGCAATGCAATGCAGGGTAGTGCAGTGGGATGTGGTGCATTGTGTAGGGCAGTGCACGAAAAAGCAAGCATGTGCGCAGAACATAAAGATCACAACGCCCACAAGATCACATCAAGATCACAACATGCACAACGTCACAACCAGATCAACACGACAAGCTATCCAAGCGCCGCCTTACCACCCTGTGATTGACAAAGAGCCCGGCCAGAAAATGAGCCCTCTCGGGGTTGTCCCGCTCCCCATTCAGCACCAGCGCTGGCACCTGGTGGCAAGGACGCGAGGGGGGAGAAGGAACGGGGATTTCAACATACCGTAAGAAGCGACTTTGAATCTACTCAAAAACCATTCAGCACCAGCGCACCTGGTGGCAAGGACGTGAGGGGAGAGAATAGGGAAAGAGCAAGAATAGAATTCCACAGGAAAAACAGAAACAGAGAAGGAAAAGCACCAATGCACATCAAACAGGGGAAGAACAAGCAGGCATGAGCACCAGCACAGGCACAGGCACAAGCACAGGCACAGGCACAGGCACAGGCACAGGCACAGGCACAGGCACAGGCACAGGCACAGGCACAGGCACAGGCACAGGCACAGGCACAAGCACACGTACAAACAGACGTGCCTCACTCCCTGATATCTTGTCGCTGTAAGAATTGACCATAACGGGTGCCACCGGCACGTAGCCGCCCAGCTGCCGCCCGGTTTTCAGCCGGCTCTGCTGAGCCACAAACGGCAGGCTGTAGCGGCCGCTGAGAGACGGCGAGACGAGGACAGAGCGGTTGGTGAGGTCAAAGTGCTGCCACAACTGGGGTACGGGTATGCAGGGGTGTGCAGGGGAATACAGGGGTATGCAGGAGTATGCAGGGGTATGCAGGGGTGCAGGGAAGAAGCAACAGAGGCAGGGCATGGGGACTAAGGTGGTGCAAATGGCAGGCTGTAGCGGCCGGCCACTAAGGGATGGGGAGACACGAGGACAGGGCGTTTGGTGAGTTCGAATTGACGCCACAACTGGGGTAAGGGTATGCAGGGAGGCAGGATTCGGGGATTATGGAGCTACAGGTGGCAGGCTGTAGCAGCTGGCCGCTGAGGGATGGCGAGACGAGGACAGAGCGATTGGTGAGCTGGAAGTGCTGCTACAGCTGGGAGAGAGGGTTGGGGATGACAGCGGAAGTGCTGCTACAACTGGGAGAGAGGGTTGGGGCAGCGGAAGTGAAAACTGGGGGATAAGGGCTGAGCTGTGCTGCAGGGGACAGGATGTAGCGGGCGCTGAGGGCGGGGGAGACACAAGGACTGATGGCTTTAGGATAGGCACTTGACTATTGGGTCCCTCTGCCCCCCTCCCTCGCCCACACACGCACATACCACAGCAAGAAAGCCCTCGTGTGCCGCTCGCGTCGCGTGGAGAGGTTGCCAGTGGTGCAGTCCTTGCCTTATGACAGACACATGCAATTGGGTCCCCCTCTCCCCCCCATCTCCTCCCCCTCCTACCCTCCCCCCACCCCCTCCTACACACACGCACATACCACAGCAAGAAAGCCCTCGTGTGCTGCTCTCGTGGAGAGGCTGTCCGAGGTGCGGCCCTTGCCACCTGTTGTGGGATGGGTGGAGACACACAGAGTACACACAGGTGCATGTGGGCATGTGGGCATGTGGGCATATGCGTGTATGGGCACGTGGTGTATGTGTGTATGGGCATGTGGTGTATGCGTGTGTGGGCACGTGGGTGTATGCGTTTATGGGCACGTGGTGTATGGGTGTATGGGCACGTGGATGTATGGGCATGTAGGTGCATGTGTGTATGGGCATGTGGCCATGTGTGGACATGTGGGTATTCGCGTGTACGGGCATGTGGCCATGTATGGGCATGTGGCCATGTATGGGCACGTGGCCATGTATGGGCATGTGGCCATGTATGGGTATGTGGCCATGTATGGGCATGTGGCCATGTATGGGCATGTGGCCATGTATGGGCATGTGGCCATGTATGGGCATGTGGCCATGTATGGGCATGTGGCCATGTGTGGGCATGCGGGTGTGGAAAGGTTGTCAGTGGTGCGACCCTTGCTGCCTGTTTCGACACCGAACACCGGCGCAAGTCAACAAAAATCAACGCAAGTCAACTCCAGTCAACGCACCCGGCAGGTCGACTGCAATGACCCTGTGCCCTGCTGCCGCCAGGTGGTCAATGGTGCCTGCATTGCGCCAAGGGGCAAGAGGTGAATAGGGGGAAGGGGAAGGGGAGGGGGGGAGAGGGGAAAGGGCGTGTTGGTAGGGGGAGGGGGAGGGGTAGCAATGACTCGGTGCCCTGCTGCTGCTGGGTGGTCAATGGTGTCTGCGTTGCACCCAGGGGCAAGAGAGGGCTGGCAATGGCTCTGTGTTCCCTGCTGTTGCCAGGTGGCCCATGGTGCGTTTCGCTTTTGGGAATTCTCAAGAACAAAACACATCGATGGTGCGTGCATTGCACAACGGACGGAGGGAAGGGCAGCGTGCGGGGGGGGGGGAGGGGAGGGGGGGGTGAAGGCCTCGGGGAAGCAGAGGGAGAACAGAAGAAAGAGGAAGAAGACGGGGGCCGGATGGGTAAGGCTGGAGGGGAGGTAGAGGGGGGGTAGTGGAAGGTACCGCCGTCATTCCCGAGGCTCCCGACAATCCCAAGGTCCCCGAGAGTACTGCCCCTACAGTCCCCATGGGAAGGGAAAGCGAGGGGGAAGAGAGGGGGAAGGACGGACCAATATCCTTCCACGTCTTGGCTTCGAACGCGCGCCCATGGAGCAGCACCACGGTCATTCCCGAGGCTCCTTCCACACCCTCGCCTCCTCCTCCGCCTCCTCCGCCTCCTTCCGTCGCCTTCCTGGAACCTTCCAGGTACCGCAGCGTCACGCGCTGCCGCCCCTCCTCGTCCGCGATTTCCGGCGGGAGATTAACTACCATCTCCCTCTCCTCCACTATCACCTCCGCAAAACTCGGCGCCGCCATTGTCGCGGGGTCGCCGCCGCGCGACGGCGCGGAGGCGGCGGACGACGAGTCGCGCCGAGCGCTTAGGAGGACGAGCGCGGTTACTAGGATGGCGAGAGATAAGAGGAACCCCCGAGTCGGCAGGCTGAGCGAGTCTATATACAATCGCACGAAGCTGCTATTACTGTCTCCTGCTCGCGGCGCGCCCGGATACGAAGTTCCTATCGGCCTGCGCATGAGTGCTGACGTGGCTCGTGATCAACAATCCGCAGCTGCTCGTGATTGGCTCAGAACAGAAACTGACGGGCTAAGTACAGGGAATCCCGGGGATTTCTGAGTAGAGGCAAGGAAAATGTTTCTGACTTGTGAAATCGAAGGCGAAAATGTGGGAGGAACAGCGGTAAGGACGTGGTGCAGGCGTATTCAACCGGGTCTGGACTGTGCAGGTTACTGAAATCGTCAATGTCGTGTAGCTGTCGTTAATAAACAATGCCTGTATTCACGAAAAGGGTCCGGACTTTCGTCCGGACTTCTGTTTCGCAAGGTACGGCTGCACCATGCTGTTTCGCAAGAGAGCGGGTGTGGGGGCAGTGGGGGTTCCCAGCTTCCAAGCTCCAGCATGCTGAAGCGGCTACCACGCTGCACCGCATTATAACTCACCAAAGAAAGCAGGACCTAAGAAAGTTTCAACATTACGGAGGGTTTGGGGGAAGAAGTATAATAATGACCTTTTGTTCTCAATCTACATAACCTCGTTATACTGTTTCAAGGGAGCAAATTAATGCGAAAATACTCTGAGAAGCAGACTCGAGGCCGACCTTCTATCTAGAAACTGTACCTTGAAATGAACCTGGAAAGATAATGAATATGCGAAACAGAGGTGTATCCTACCAACCTTTTAGCCCTTCTAGCTGGAGATCGTACGGAGGGCTGTATTCGACGCGGGATCGATTTTGTCGAGTACGAGCTGCGTGTCAAGTCAGGCACACACTGTCAGCGAATGGATTTTGCGGTGGTAGTCATGTGCAGCGGGAGGCGACGCCAAGTCCCAGTCCTCTCGTAAGTAGACAGCTCGTTTTTTAGGCGCCTCAACGATATTCGTAAGCTGAGAATGGAGGTAACGGTAACCTCGTGTTTCGCTCCCTCCTCAGGGCCCGCAATGCGCGGCGTTTGCGCGCCTATGCCCGCTATTCACGCATCTGTCACTAAATCCGCAGCCTTTTCGCAAGCCTCTACACTATCACCTTCACAGCGCTCGATAAAGTCGCGAACTCCCCCCTCGGCGCTAAGCTGCTCGTTACCATCACAATCGCGACCGTCACCGCGCCTTCTTACAGTCACGCGCGCCTCCTCCGCTCCGCTTCTCTCCTCCGCGTATTCCCTCTTTTTTTTCCCCTTTCCCCCGCATCTTTCCGCCCAAGGCCTGTTTCCCCAGCGCAATGCCTCCCCCGGCCTTCCGCGCGGACCCCATCCCCGAGCGCCGCCAGGCCTCCGCCAGCCCCTGGCTCCACGCCCCCGCCGACTCCAAATATCCGCCGCTGGGCGCAGCAAGGCCGCCCCGCGGGTGGTTCGGCGGAAGATCTCCCCCGCGCACATGCGCCGGCTGCAGAAGCGCCCGGGCGGCATTCACCGGACGAATCTGTACCGCCGCGGCCGGCGCGGCGGACGGCAGCTCAGCCAGGACGAGCTGACGTCACGGCTGCTGCAGAGCCCGCAACTGGCGGCGGGAAATGCGGCGGGCTGGCCGCTGCTTAGCGCGTGTTTGTCGCCGCTGCCCCTGGCGCGCGAAGATAGGGAATGGATCTGGGCGAACGGCGATGAGATTAAGGAGGGTCTAGGGCTTTTGATGGCGGAAGGCGGGGATGGGTGGGAGGCCGTTGGGCAGGGTTCAGGGTTTTGGGCGGGGGAGGAGGGGGAAGGGGAAGAGGAGGAATGGGGATCTGGGGATGAGTACGAGGAAGAGGAGGAGGAGGGGGAGGAAGATGGAGAGGAAGAGGAAGAAGAGGAAGAGGGGCTAACTCAAAGATTCGGTGAATTGAGTCAAAGATTCGCGAGCAGAGGTTCGGGGTTTAGGTACGGGAGGGAAGGTGGAGCTGGGGAGATGGAAGGAGAGGAGGTGAGAGGAGAGGAGGGGGAAGATTCGTTCAACCCAGCCAGCAAGCTGGACGAGCTGCTGTACCTCTCATACATGCACAGGTGAGAGCACGTGCCATGGCCAGGCGAGAGCACGTGCCATGCAGATGTGCCCTTGTCCTTGCCTCCTCCTTTTCCCAACAAACCCCCAGGGATCAGCCGGACGCACCTGACGTTTCTGGGAGGGTATGTGCTCAACAAATCCCACCTCCCCCCCTGCCTCCCCTTTCCCCTGCCTCTTCCCCTGCCTCTTCCCCTTCCCCTTCCCCTTCCCCTTCCCCTTCCCTTCTCCTGCCTCGTCCCCTTCCCCCTGTCCGCCTCTCCACCGCCCTCCTTCCTTAACAAACCCAGGGGCCAGCCAGACAAGTCGCGGTTTCTCAAGGTGGCAGGGTCGCGCCTTCTGCGTTTCTGGGAGGGTTTTTGCCGGGCAGGTTTTGCTCTTCACCCGCCACTTCCCCTGTCCTTACCTCCTCTCTCTCTCCTCCTCCCCCCCCCTCCCCCCCCCCCCCTCCCCCGGGTTCCCCTCAAACAACCCCCAGGGACCAGCCGGACAAGTCGCGGTTTCTCAAAGTGGCGGGGTCGCGGCTAGCGTTCCTGGGAGGGTTCGTGCTGGAGCTGGCTCTGGCGGAGATGCTGCTGCAGGTGAGAAGAGAATGTTTTGGTGGGGGTAAGGTAGAATTTCGGTGCGACGGCACAGCTGTGCCGCTACAGTGTGAACCGGAGGGGAGGGTTCATGCTGGAGCTGGCTCTGGTGGAGATGCTGCTGTGGTGCGATGGCGATGATGCGACACATGCTAGTACCGGTACAAGGCTGCTCTGCGACAAGCGAGCTGGGAGGGAGGGATTGTGCTGGAGCTGGGCTCAGGAGAGGCTGTAGCCTCCCAGCGCTGCTGTAGCAGGGAATTCGTTGCCTCGTGGAGTCATTTCTGAGAATTGGTCTGTACAGTGACCTGGGAGCGAGTTTTGAGGCGTTTCTGAGCGCCTTTGAGTCGACTCAAAAGCAGTGTTGAGGCGTTTCTGAGCGCCTCAAAACGTTTCTGAGAATTGGGCTGAACAGTGACCTGGGAGCGAGTGTGGTTGACTGCTGGAACTGGGCTCAGGAGAGGCGCTCCCAGCGCTATGCTACACCAGGGAACTTGCTGCCTCATGAAGGGATCGAGTGAGCCGAGGAGCAGCAGGGGGAAACCATACAGCGCTGCTCCCTCCTCCCTGTGCTCACTACTGCCACCCTGGCTTCCTCACCCTCTCTCCCTTCCCCTTCCTTTCCCCTTACCTCCAGTGCTACCCCAGGGAGCCGATTGTCTCGCTAAGGGAACGAGAACGAGGGATTGATCTCCTTGGGAAGTGGCATGGCAACCAGCGCCGCTTCCCTCTGCTGCTCACTGACTGACTGCCACCCCCCCCTTTTCTTGAGGCGCCTCAAAAATAGACTGACTGCTCCCCCCTCTTCCTCTACCCCTCGCCCTCCACCCCCTTCCCAGTGCTACCCCAGAGAACCAGTTGCATCGCTAAGAGAGCGGGCTAAAGAGCTCGGAAACAAGCGACGCTTCCCTCCGCTGCTCTCTCAAGCTGGCTTGGACCGGCTGGTGTTCCCAGGGGCTCTGCTCATGCGCGCCCCCTCCAACCTGCGACAGCTGGCTGCCAAGTGAGTGTGGCTGCCTAATAGCGCCCAGGTTCAGGGTTCAGGGTTCAGGGCTCAGGGTTCAGGGCTCAGGGTTCAGGGCTCAGGGTTCAGGGCTCAGGGTTCAGGGCTCAGGGTTCAGGGCTCAGGGTTCAGGGCTCAGGGTTCAGGGCTCAGGGTTCAGGGTTTCGGGTTTAGGGCCTCAAGCATGCTTGCACTGACTGGTGTTCCCAGGGGCTCTGCTCATGCGCGCCCCCTCCAACCTGCGACAGCTGGCTGCCAAGTGAGTGTGGCTGCCTAATAGCGCCCAGGTTCAGGGTTCAGGGTTCAGGGCTCAGGGTTCAGGGCTCAGGGTTCAGGGCTCAGGGTTCAGGGCTCAGGGTTCAGGGCTCAGGGTTCAGGGCTCAGGGTTCAGGGCTCAGGGTTCAGGGCTCAGGGTTCAGGGCTCAGGGTTCAGGGCTCAGGGTTCAGGGCTCAGGGTTCAGGGTTTCGGGTTTAGGGCCTCAAGCATGCTTGCACTGGCTGGTGTTCCCAGGGGCTCTGCTCATGCGCGCCCCCTCCAAACTGCGACAGCTGGCTGCCAAGTGAGTGTGGCTGCCTAATAGCGCTCAGGTTCAGGGTTTATGGTTCAAGGTTCAGGTTCAGCGTTCAGGGCTTAGGGTTCAGGGTTTAGGGTTCAGGGCCTGAAGCATGCTTGCACCGGTTGGTGTTCCCTGGGGCTCTGCTCATGCGCGCCCCCTCCAACCTGCACCAGCTGGCTGCCAAGTAAGCTCTTCTTGTGCTCAGGGCTGGCTTGACTGGTTGGGGCGTGTCATTCAGGCAGGGTGTTACGGCTTCCCTCTGCTGCTCACTCAGGCGGGCTTGCACCGGCTGGTGTTCCCGGGGGCTTTGCTATGCGCGCGCCCACCAACCTGCGACAGCTGGCTGCCAAGTAAGCTCTTCTGTATTGAAGGTTGGCTGGTTGGGGCTTCTCCCTTCGTCTTCCCTGCAGGAGCATCTTCACCGAAGGGAGAAGCCGAAACAGGTTGGTGGGCGCCAATGTGCTCACCTCGCTCATTGCCTCGGCCTATCTCACGCGGGGCATGCCGGAGGAGGTCTACCGGCTGCTGTTTGAGGTCTTTGGGTTGAACCTCTATCGACTTCCACTCGTCCGTTCACCCGTACCCGCCCCCCCGCAGGAGCGTGCTCACCTCGCTTATAGCCTCTGCCAATCTCACGCAGGGCATGCCGGAGGTCTACCGGCTGCTGTTCAAGGTCTTTGGGTTGGACCCCGCCCATCCCAACATGCAGACTCTTATCCTCCCTGTTTTGTTTCGCTGTTTCTTGCAGACGTTTGTTCACTTCGCTCGTTGCCTCGGCATACCTAAGACGGGGTATGCCCGAGGTATACCGGCTGCTGTTTGAGGTCTTTGGGTTGAACCTCTATCGACTTCCACTCGTCCGTTCACCCTTACCCGCCCCCCCGCAGGAGCGTGTTCACCTCGCTCATAGCCTCGGCCTATCTCACGCGGGGCATGCCCGAGGTCTACCGGCTGCTGTTCGAGGTCTTTGGGTTGGACCCCGCCCATCCCAACATGCGGCCTCTTTTCCTGCCTGTGTTGTTTCGCTGTTTCTTGCAGGAGCGTCTTCACCTCGCTCATTGCCTCGGCATACCTAACACGGGGAATGCCCGAGGTGTATCGGCTGCTGTTCGAGGTCTTTGGATTGGACCCCGACCATCCTGACATGCGCCCCAAGATCGAGCGTGTGCGCGACGAGGATTTCCTGCATGCTGAGCTGGACGGCAACCCGCTGACGTGGCGCGACGTGGCGTGCTACCAGGTATGTGGGTGGGTGTGTGTGTGTGCGCGCGCGCGTTTTGGATGGAATCAAGATGCATGTTGAATTCAGGAGTGCAAGCAAGCAACCAAGCACTCGTTTTGTTGTCACATTCTTCCTGTGAGAGCGGTGGTGGTGGGAGTCGGTTCAGAGCAAATAGGAAAAGGCAGCTGAGAAAATTGCAAGCTATTTAACAAAGAGCTGTCGAAATTAGAAACGCTTTTCGTGATCCATTCATGTGTATTTTGAGTGGACTCGAAATTAGAAGCGCTTTTCGTGATCCATTCATGAGTGCAAGCAAGCACTCCTTTGCTTCCCCCACTACCCCCCAGCACCCCTTTTGCCTCGCCACTTCTCGCCTCGCTCACCCCCTCCCTTCCCCTTCCTTCCCCGTCTCTCCCCCCCCCCCCCCTCCCACCCTCCCCATGAGGTGACTTTTGAGTCGGCTCAATAGCACTTCTCACCTCGCTCAACCTCTCCCTTCCTCTTCCTTCCCCGTCTTCTCCCCTTCCCCCCCCACCCTCCCCATGATGCCCTCCACTCCAGTCCCCCCCGGACTCCCTCTTCCTCAACGCCTCGTCTCTTCCGCGCCTGTGTGCTACGCCACCCGGAATGTCTCATGCTTTTCCCCCTCCTCCCGAATTCCCCCCCTTATCCCCTTCACCCCCCCCATCAGTCCCCCCCGGACTCCCTCTTCCCCAACACTCGTCTCTTCCACGCCTGCATGCCGCCCAGAATGGCTATCCGCCCCTCACCCTATCCTCTTCCCCTTTTCCCTTGCACCCCTTCATCCCCCCCATCAGTCCCCCCCCGACTCCCTCTTCCCCAACTTTCGTCTCTTCCACGCCTGCGTGCCGCCCGGAATGTCGCGATTCCGCGGCTCTGATTGGATGCACCGGTCGCTAGAGGCGGCACTGAGGGCGTTGGCCTGGCCGAGACCAGCGGAAGCGGGGATGTCCCCAGAGGCGAAGCAGAGGAGAAACGAGGACATGGTTATGGCGCTGCAGGTGGGCTGAGACAGCCTGAGACGGCCTGAGATGGGCTGAGACGGGCTGAGACGGGCCGAGACGGGCTGAGACGGGCTGAGACGGGCTGAGACGGGCTGAGACGGCCTGAGACGGGCTGAGACGGCCTGAGACGGGCCGAGACGGGCTGAGTTGGGCTGAGACGGGCTGAGACGGGCTGAGACGGGCTGAGACGGGCTGAGACGGGCTGAGACGGGCTGAGACAGGCTGAGTCGGGCTGAGACGGGCTGAGACGGGCTGAGACGGGCTGAGTCGGGCTGAGACGGGCTGAGACGGGCTGAGACGGGCTGAGACGGGCTGAGACGGGCTGATACGGGCTGAGACGGGCTGAGACGGGCTGAGACGGGCTGAGACGGGCTGAGACGGGCTGAGACGGGCTGAGACGGGCTGAGACGGGCTGATACGGGCTGAGACGGGCTGAGACGGGCTGAGACGGGCTGAGACGGGCTGAGACGGGCTGAGACGGGCTGAGACGGCCTGCCCCTTCTCACCTTCCGGCCCCTTTCACCCTCCCTTCCACCCTTCGCCCCTTGCCAACCGCCCCAGCTATGTTTCCTGCACCCGTCACTGCATCGTGCGGAGCACCCTCGCTTCTGCTACGACCGCCTCGAGTACCTCGGGCAGAAGATCCAGGTGAGGGCTTATATGGGGCAGAAGATCCAGGTGAGGGCTTATATGGGGCAGAAGATCCAGGTGAGGGCTTATATGGGGCAGAAGGTCCAGGTGAGGGCTTATATGGGGCAGAAGATCCAGGTGAGGGCTTATATGGGGCAGAAGATCCAGGTGAGGGCTTATATGGGGCAGAAGATCCAGGTGAGGGCTTATATGGGGCAGAAGATCCAGGTGAGGGCTTATATGGGGCAGAAGGTCCAGGTGAGGGCTTATATGGGGCAGAAGATCCAGGTGAGGGCTTATATGGGGCAGAAGATCCAGGTGAGGGCTTATATGGGGCAGAAGATCCAGGTGAGGGCTTATATGGGGCAGAAGATCCAGGTGAGGGCTTATATGGGGCAGAATATCCAGGTGAGGGCTGTGTGTTCCGTGAGGGCTCTGTGTTCGGTGAGCGCTCTATGTTCGGTGAGAGCTCTATGTTCGGTGAGCGCTCTATCTTCCGTGGAAGGAGGAGGTTGAGAATTTACTGAAACAGTTAGAATTTATAATATGTTTGGGTCCGTCTCTCATTCTAACTGCAGACAGACAGACCATGCTGATTCAACATTGGCCTCCCAACAACTCCCAACACGTGTGTCGTTATCTAATGTGCCTATATGCAACCAGGATCTGATCTTAGCGGAGAATCTCCTCCAATCGCATCTCGACGCTCCGATCCTCTGGCTTGCCGACCGCCACACCAAGCTGCTTCGGAACCGAACCTGCGGCCGGTACCTCCGAGCCTCGGGCCTTCATGAGCATGTGGAGCTTTCAGACGAGGTGAAGCAGTATTTCTACGCGAATAAAAAGTTTCAGAATTTAGTTTCGGGGGCGGTGTTCCAGGCTCTTCACGGGGCTGCGTATATCGTGTACGGGAAGCCGGAGGTGCGGCGGCTTATGTTTGGGATCTTTGAGATTGACGGTGGCACAATGCACACCACGTAACGTGGCAGTTGCACACATTTTACATAGTTAATACATGGAGATGTAGTACGGTATTTGTTTTAGTATGAGTGTTTGGTTGGTTTGGAGGCGTTCTTGCGTCCGTTGTAACAAGAGAAGAGTATGACTCTTTATTAATCAGCGTAATGGATCCAAAGGCTATATACGGTATGTCCTAAACAGAGTCACAGAGGTATAGTTGCTTCTATGTTAAGTCATTTACTAAATAACCGCAACATTGTTACTGCCTCGCAGGGAAGAAGAGACTGCACGCTCAGGAACATATGCAGGTGGGAGAGAAGGGGAGGTGTGTATTGAGGCGCCTCAGATTATACAAGAACGCGACGGGTGAGAGGGGGAGATGGGGAAAGGGAAGGGGGAAATTGGAGGGGACAGAGGGAGGTGGAGGGGAAAAGAGGGGTGAGAAGGGGAGAGAATCGGGGGAATAGGGGAAAGGGGTAAGGAAGAGAGGAGGGAGGGGTCTATTTTTGAGGCGCCTCAAAAATAGACTCCTCAAAAATAGGGGGAAAGGGGTAAGGAAGAGAGGAGGGAGGGGAAGTGGAGCCACACCTGGAAGTGTTGTCGTGGACAATGCGAGCAAATTCTTCCACGTTTTCGACCTGGCGGTATCCGCACACCACTTCCAGCACTTGCCTGCAGCGCAGGAGAGGAGAAAGATGACTCAGATTCAATTCTCACTCGAGCTGTTTCTGAGTCGGCTAAAAAGCTTGCCGATATCCGCACACCACTTCCAGCACTTGCCTGTAGAGCAGCACACGGGGGGGAAAGACTTCCGCATGGGGGAGCAAGAGAAGAAAGGACGACTCCAATTCTCACTCGGGCTGTTTCTGAGTCGACTCAAATGCTTGCCGGTACCTGCACACCCCTTCCAGCACTTGCCTGTAGAGCAGCACACGGGGGGGGAAAGACTTCCGCATGGGGGAGCAAGAGAAGAAAGGACGACTCCAATTCTCACTCGGGCTGTTTCTGAGTCGACTGAAGCTTGCCGGTACCCGCACACCCCTTCCAGCACTTGCCTGCACCACATCGGGAGAAGTCTTTTGAGTCGACTCTGAAGTCACCTCGACTCAAAAGTCACCTCGACTCAAAAGTCATAAGGTACCCGCACACCACTTTCAGCACTTGCCTGCACCACATGGGGAGAAAGAATGCTGCACGGTTACCCCATGCCACATGCATACCCCATGCCACATGCATACCCCATGCCACATGCATACCCCAAGCCACATGCATACCGCGTACCACATGCATACCGCATACCACATGCATACCGCATACCACATGCATACCTCATGCCACATGCATACCGCATACCACATGCACACCCCATGCCACATGCACACCCCATGCCAAATGCATACCCCATGCTACATGCATACCCCATCCTACATGCATACCGCATGCTAAATATGTATACCTGATGGGGCATGGCTCGTTTCTGCCCGTCACCTTGGCTTCTTTAGAATGCGCCTCTTTCTTCTTCGCCGCCCACTTGCTTGCCTCTTTCTTCTTCGCCGCCCACTTGCTTGCCTCTTTCTTCTTCTTTCGTTGTTTCGTTGCCCACATTCCTCTTCGCCGCCCACTTGCTTGCCTCTTTCTTCTTCTTTCGTTGTTTCGTTGCCCACATTCCTCTTCGCCGCCCACTTGCTTGCCTCTTTCTTCTTCTTTCGTTGTTTCATTGCCCACATTCCTCTTCGCCGCCCACTTGCTTGCCTCTTTCTTCTTCTTTCGTTGTTTCGTTGCCCACATTCCTCTTCGCCGCCCACTTGCTTGCCTCTTTCTTCTTCTTTCGTTGTTTCGTTGCCCACATTCCTCTTCGCCGCCCACTTGCTTGCCCTGCCTCGACCCTACGGCACATCCTTACATCACAGCCAAGGTTATCGTGCCTCATGAAACGCACTCACGCCTGATGACACGTGCATACCCCACCCTTCAGGCACACCTGATGGCACACCTGATGGCACACCTGATGGCACACCTGATGGCACACCTGATGGCGCACGGCTCGTTTCTGCCCTTCACCATGGCATCTCCAGAATGCGCCTCTTTCTTCCTCGCCGCCCACTTGCTGCCCACGAATTTGTGGCCGGCGTGCGTCGGCCGCACATCGCAATAGGGAGAGTCGGTCTCCAGCATCAGACGGCTGGGAGGGATCCCTGCCATGGCTTTAAGATTGTCCTCCGTTTTCAGGGAACACCCGTTTATGCCTGGAGTTGAAGGGAAGGGACGGACGGAGGGAACAGATGGTCAGATAGGCGTGCAAGTGCGTGTCGGACCCACATCGCATCGCATCACATCGCATTGCATCACATCGCATTGCAGCCCAACAGTAGAGAGAGTAGGGGGATTAGGGAGAGTAGGGGGAGTAGGGAGAGTAGGGAGAGTAGGGGAGTAGGGGGAGTAGGGGGAGTAGGGGGAGTAGGAGGAGTAGGGGGAGTAGGGGGAGTAGGGCGAGTAGGGGAGTAGGGGGAGTAGGGGGAGTAGGGGGAGTAGGGCGAGTAGGGGGAGTAGGGGGAGTAGGGGGAGTAGGGGAGTAGGGGAGTAGGGGGAGTAGGGGAGTAGGGCGAGTAGGGGGAGTAGGGGAGTAGGGGGAGTAGGGGAGTAGGGGGAGTAGGGCGAGTAGGGGGAGTAGGGGAGGGGAGTAGGGGAGTAGGGGGGAGTAGGGGGAGTAGGGGAGTAGGGCGAGTAGGGCGAGTAGGGGGAGTAGGGCGAGTAGGGGGAGTAGGGGGAGTAGGGGGAGTAGGGAGAGTAGGGCGAGTAGGGCGAGTAGGGGAGTAGGCGAGTAGGGGAGTAGGGGGAGTAGGGGGAGTAGGGGGAGTAGGGGGAGTAGGGGGAGTAGGGCGAGTAGGGCGAGTAGGGGGAGTAGGGCGAGTAGGGGGAGTAGGGGGAGTAGGGGGAGTAGGGCGAGTAGGGGAGTAGGGCTCTTTCTTCTTGCCTGTGCTGCCTGTGCTGCCCGTGCTGCCTGCACCCTGCTCACCTATGGATAGCTTGGGCACTGCGAGGATGGCGTCCCTCTCCTCACACGCGCCTGTGAACGAATGGACCACTCCCCCCACAAACCTGCCAGCAAGCAGATGGGCGGTAACCAGGCGGCACGATGAGGCACTTATTGAGAGCTCACAGCTTATCTGAGAATCCTATGAGAGATAATTCGAGAATTCTCATAGAATCTATTGGTCCCTTTCACCTGCAATCACCTCCTTTCCCCCACCCCTCCCCCCCTCTCCTCCCCCCCCCCTCCCGCTCTCCCCCCTCCCGCTCTCCTCCCCCCCCCCTCCCCCTCTCCTCCCCCCCCTCCCCCCCTTCTCCCCCCCCCCTCCCCCTCTCCTCTCCCCCTTCTCCCTCATAAGCTCCCTCCCTTCCCCTCTGCTCTTACCTGCTCTCGTTGCTCTTGACTATCTCCAAATAATCATCCGCTGCAGCGCGCATGTGCAGGAATACAGGGAGCTGGGTGGCCTCTGCTTGTCAAACTGCGGATACCAACAATCACATTCACACCCTCTCTCCTCCTCCATCCCGCCCTCCTCACCTGCTCTCGTTCCTCTTCAATATTTCCAGAAAAATCATCCGCAGCAGCACGCATGTGCAGGAACATGGGCAGCTGGGTGGCCTCAGCCAGGTCAAACTGGAGCTCAAAGTACCTTGGGGGAGGGGGGAGGGAGGGTGGCAGCAAGAGAGGGGAGGGGGACAGCAAGAGAGGGGAGAGTCCGGGAGGCAAAGACAAGGAGAGACAAGGAGTCGCAAGGGGGACTCTTGAGAGCGCAGGCTCAGGAACATGAGCACCTGGGTGGCCTCAGCCAGGTCAAACTGGAGCTCAAAGTACCTTTGTGAAGGGGGGGGAGGGGGGACAGCAAGAGAAGAGAGGGAGAGGCCGGGAGGCGAAGATGAGAAGAGGGAGTGGCAAGGGGATCTGTTGAGCACGCATGTGCAGGAACATGGGCAGCTGGGTGGCCTCTGCAAGGTCAAACTGGAGCTGGAAGTACCTTGGAGGAGGGGGAGAGCGAGGGGGAGAGAGGCATGAAAAATGGGAGGAAGGAGGGGATGGGAGGCACGAAGCTAGGCACGGAAGGAGTCACACGTCAGATGGCGTCCAAATCGTCAGGGTTGCTGCTGCTCAACACGGGTGAAGCCATGGGCGCCAGGGGGTCTCCCCCCCCAGGGGCTCGCAGGTGGATCGGCGTGGGAAAGGGGGCCTGGTTTCCTCCTGGGATCTCCTTAAAGCCCAAAAAAAAGAAAAAAAAAGGTTTGCTGCTGCTGAGGACTCTGACCAGGGACTCTGACCAGGGACTCTGACCAGGGACACTCTGACTCCACAAGCAAGCAACATGTGCCACGCCACAGCATGCCACATAGCATATCCAACCGAGCATCTTCGTTAACACACCAAAGGGCAACCAAGCAGCATTTTTTAACTCTCAGCTGATCTAAATCAGCTCCAATCCCCCCAGCCAGCTGAACTCGCTTTCCTGCTGCCCTGCACTTCTCCCCTCCTGACTACTCTTATTCTGCCCTTCTCTAGGGCAGAATACGAGCCGGTCAGTCCAGGCCACACTCGCCCACTGCAGAGAGCAGAGGAATGGAAAACTCCTGCCTGTGTCAATCACACCCTTTCACTTCTCAAAACGCGCACCGCCTGTGCTTCTGAAAACCCCTCACTTCACTCGCCTGCTGCAAACCATTTCAACTCACCTCAGGGAGTTTTCGAGGGTTCTAAAAAGCGCACCTCCTGTGCTTCTCAAAAACCTCTCATTTCACAAATCTCCTGCAACCCATTGAACTCACTTCTGCTGCACTTCTTTTGGGCAGAATACAAGCCGGTCATAGTCCAAGCCGCACTCGCCCACTGCCACAACCTGGTATAAGGAGGGTGTTGGTCAGGATGAGTGAGTCACATGAGACAAAGAACGACAAAGACGTGTGAGACGCCTCACGGCAACTGTCAGTCACCAACGGGCAAGTGACGCACCATGCATGCACGCACCGGCCTTTTTTGAGGCGCCTCAAAAAAGGGACGCACCATGCATGCGCGCACCGGCCCGCCCCCTTAGCTAGACCGACTTACCCACCTTGCCTTCGGCCTTCCCCGTCTTCAGCTAGCTTCACAAGGGGTGCTGCTGTGGATCCCCGCGTGCATAAAAAAGAAACCTTAAGCTAGACCCACCCACCCCGTGATCCCCGTGAACTGAGACGGTTTTCTGAGGCGCCTCAGAAAGCCTTAGCTAGACTGACTTACCCACCTTGCCTTTGGCCTTCCCGTCCTCAGCTAGCTTCAGAAGGGATTGCAGGTGCTGCTGTGGATCCCCGCTTGCGTCAAACTCCTGAGCACGGGAGAGGAGGGGATGAGCGGAGAGATGGAGGGTCAGGATTTGAGGCGGCTCAAACGCTTAGAATACCTCCAGAGTTTTGTTCCCCCCAGCTCCAACAGGGTTTTTTTTTTTTTTTTTTTTTTTTTTTTTTTCAAACGACAGAGCAACGGGTTGGGTGGACGCCAACGGTGCAATAGAGGCGGTCTTGGAATGAAAGCATGGGGGGTGAACAACATCCGGGTCAGGGAAGTATGCAAAAAAGAGACAGAGGACAACAGGACTCACAGAGCAACGGGTTGGGTGGACGCCAATGGTGCAGTAGAGGCGGTCTTTGGGGGTATGTGGGTCGGAAGAAAAAACATGACACAGATGTAGACAAAGAGAGGGAAGCAGTTTTGAGGCGCCTCAAAACTAGACTCCTATCACGTGGGTCGGAAGAAAGAGCATGACACACATGTAGACAAAGAGAGGTAAGCACGGGGGATTGGGAGAAGAAGGGGTTGGAAGCACGGAAAGGGGGACATGGTGGAGTGAAGTACGAGTGTTGGGAAAATAAGAGGAAAATGCGAGGGAAATACTAGGACAATAAGAGGGGAATAGGTGGAGAATAGGAGGAAAATACGAGGAAGCATGCGTTGGGGAGGGGGGATACTGTGTTTGGGAGAGAAGGGAATGATATTTGGGAAACACAACACGAAGCGTGAGGAAGTGAGGAGTCTATTTTTGAGGCGCCTCAAAAAAAGGGAAACACAACACGAAGCGAAACACAGCCAGCCAGCCATGATAGCCCTAACATAAAGCGGAAGTATGAATACGGCGACGTAGTGCGGTTCTTTCATAGCAGGGCAGCACTTTCTCTGGCAGAAACAGAGAGATAGTTTTCGCTCCTAACAGCTCACTGTCTGTTTCTGCCAGCGCAAGCGCTGCTCTGCTCTCCTCCAAGCTGCCTCCCGTGATCTGAAGCACAGCGAGCGAGGCGAAAGGGAAGGTACAATCTGAAAGACTTTGAGAGAAAAAAGAAACCACAAGACGTGAACCAAGGCAAAGAATGAGAACGTTAAATTAAACTTAGGAGGTGGGGCAGCACAGCCGCCGTAAAACTACTGCCACAGGTCGATTTAGCCAAGTGAACCTTTCCAGCTCATTAAATCTCTTCCAGCAAGGCAGGACAGCATGGATGGATGGAAGCCATAATCGCTGTAACACTACTGCAAAAGCTTGATATAGCGAAGTAGACTTTTCCAACTCACTATGATTTTCTCCACACCAGCCTCCCAGGCTCGAGAAAGCACTGCTTGCAGGTCCGGTGGGTGGGCCTGCTTGCCGTGGTAGCAGCCTTGGAACATTCCGTCTGCAGAAGGGAAAGGGAAAAACGCGGGAGGGGGGGAGAGGTGGATGGGAGGAGGGCAGGGGGGTGGGGGGGAAGGGGGGGGGGGAAGGGAATGCTACAAGGATGTTCTCCATTGTACCGTCCTTGGAACTATCCCTCTGCAGAAAGAGGAATGGGAAAGGTGGGGGCAGGAGTGGACTTGATACTGGGAATGGAGATGGAAAGTAGGGCAGCGATAGTAGTTTAAAAGATGATAATAAGAAGCACGAACGACTGTCACCTCTTGAAGCGATGATGTGTGCTACCTGTCAGGTTGGCTGCGATTTCTGCGTGTGCTCAGAAGCACGCGAGTGGGAGATTCCAGAGTGGTGGTGACGAATGGTAACCCCACATGGGAAGGATGGGAAAAAAAAAGGGAGTGAGCCTTTGAGAGAGTTGTAGAGTTGTAAATTTGTATGAAAGGGTCGAAGAGACGAAAAGACCAGATCGAATTTTTAAAAAGGCGAGGATAATATGGTTGTAGAGTTGAGGGGAGGAAAATGCCAAACAGCACATAGTTGAGGTTGAAGACAGCACATTGTGCTCATTGTCCTTACAATCGACCTCCGCACATTTAACATGCCCAACAGCATTTACCGATCAGCTTCACAGGCGGTGCTGCCTTGGCCTCCGTGGCCCCCCCTTGCTCAGGGATGTTATTTCCTTTCTTCTTGCCCATCGCAACTACGGCACCACGGCGACCAGTAGAATCCGCCTGACCAGGGAAGTTTCTGCCCGAAAATGTTTTCGTCCTAGGTGACCGGGGACCAATCCAGAGGGCGCCAAGGAATGGGTTCGCGAAACTTCGGCAGATTCGAGGCTGTGCGAATGTGCTGAAAGCGAACGACTGCTGTGTGACTGTATGAAAAGTGGCTGAATGGAGGGTGGTAAGTCGGTCAGGAGGGCGAATGTGACAGCTGACGTGGCCGACGGAGCTCCCGAGGGAAACGGAAGCAGATGCGGGCGTGAATCGCGTGGCGGAATTCAATCGCGAGGCGGAACTTAATCGTGCGGGGATGGTGAGGCGTAGCCGTGGGTGATGCAGTAAGGAGCAGGCTGCGACGGACATTGGGAGGTGATACGAGTGTGATACAGCAGCCAGACGAAGATAAGAAGAGGGTAGTAGCCACTAGAATCCACAGTGAGCCCAGGAGCAAAAATACTTGTTTACTTTTCTTCTGGAGAATCCACAGTGAGCCCAGGAGCAAATACTACAGTTTTCTCCTGGATTACTAGACTGGCTAAATTCAGAAATACTGGATTTTACAGGTTCTGTAGTGGGAGTGTAGTGGGGAGCTGCTCACTGTGATGGAATTTCAAATGCAGCAGCTTGCATCGGGAATGCCTGTTCGGACGGGGGGTTCGAGGCTCTCGGGGTGGGTGGGGAGTGTTGTCAGAGCTCGCCAGAAGATCACCCCATGCGAGATGAAGGGAAGGAACGCATGGCAAACTGTAGAACTCTAGAGAGTACAACACACTGCTGAATATACAATGAAATACAGTAAGCATGCTATTGTGTCTAAACCAGCAAAACTACAGCTGTTGAAACCCTCTACAGTAACAGTGACCACGGGAATCTAAAACAAAATATTAATCTTACTGTCACCACCACAGCACTCAAATGCCAATTCCCGCACGCATCCTCTAGAGTCCTCTCCAGCCAGTGCCTTCTGGACGGGGTTCTTCTTGGTAACTGATGGCAGCGGCTGCGCCGGCACCAGCTTTTGGACCATCCCAGTTTCTCTTTTCACATGGCCATTTCTGCACGCATCCTCTCAAGTTCATCCTCCTCCTCTGCAGGTGCCTTCTGGGCCGGGACCTTCTTGGGGACTGATGGCAGAGGCTGCGCCGGCACAGCAGCAGCTGGTTGCAGCAGCTGCTCGTCCAATTCCAGTGCCTCGAGCTCTTCCAACTCAGCCATGAGCTCATCCTGCGTGGGATGGGTGGAGATGAGGGCGACGACAGAAAGGAAGAAATACGAAGTACATGAGCAAAGGCGGCTGGTTGCAGCAGTTGCTCGTCCAACTCGAGTGCCTGAGGCTCTCCAACTCAGCCATAAGCTCACCCTGCGTTGGATGGTGTACGGGATACAGCGACAGCAATGCGAGCATGAGCAATGGGACAAAAAGGAAGGGAGCAGCGGCTGCGCCGGCACGGCAGCAGCTGGTTGCAGCAGTTGCCCGTCCAATTCCGGTGCTTCAAGCTCTTCCAACTCAGCCAGAAGGTTGTTGTATGTGGGACGAGAGGTCACAAAGACAGGAGGAATGGGAGGAAAGTGGTGGGGGTATGAGCAAAGAGAGCTGGTTGCAGCAGCTGCTCGTCCAACTCCGACGCTTCAACCACTTCCAACTCAGCCAGAATTTCATCCCCTGTGGAGCAGTGCATGTATGCAGGTGAAGACGGAGTGTATGCAGGGCAGATCAGGCCAGGAGAAAAAAATGCTATTCATGAGGGAGGGATGCCCGGAGAAGGTTGATGAGACAAGAGCAGGGGGGGGAAAAGGGCAATTGATGAGGAATGGGTACTGGACCTTTCCAGTGCCAGGCTAGCTCCGACGCCAGAAAGATGTGATCTGAGTTGGTAGTGCACAGGGGATCCGAGATGCGTCCTCAAACCTCGTACTCAACGAAAAGAGAGCAGGCAGGGAGGGAATAGTAGACGGTGCAGGGGTTGCTATGGTATTCGAGTACCGTACCTCGTCGAGGTCAGCGGCGATGCCGACAGGTTGCGAGAGCGCGTCCTGGATCTGCTTCATGTTCTCCGACTGCTCGTTGATCTCGTCCAGCGTCTTGTCCACGTCGTCAATGTTCCTGAGGGGAGCGCAGAGAGGGACGAGACATGGGGGTGAGTGAAGGTGCACAGGGATCGCAGCGACTGCTCGTTGATCTCGTCCAGCGTCTTGTCCACATCGTCAATGCTCCTGAGGGGAGCACAAGAGAGAGGGGCAGGGAAGCAGGGGGGAGAGAGCAGAGCAGGGGGTTGAGTCAAGATCAGGTGGGATGCCCCGGGTTGCGAGACCATGTCTTGCCCACCACGTTGTCAATGCTCCTGAGGGAAACGCTAAGCAGAGAAAATGATACCTGAGAGAGCTACACGAGGGCTGCTGATCAGCTCAGCATGAGTTGAGTGGCAGTAATACGTCTTAAACAATGACGAAGAGGATGGAGACACTCCATGCGAAATGCAGAGACCGGAAATGCGCCAAATTCCCATCTCGTGAGATGCGCACTTCACGCAAAGTGGTTACGACACGACAGCACGAAGAGCAGGCAGAGGCTTACATCCAATCCAAGGAGTGGCTGAGACTTACATCTTCTTCTGCACGCCTTGGATGGCCTGAGCTGACTCCTTCATTGCGCTCATCATCTCCACAGTCACACTCGCGCCCTCCAGATTCACCTCCTGCATTTAGAGAGCATTCAGGGAGAATTCAGAGAGCATAAATGTTTCAAACAAACAGCATGAGATGAGCGCCTTGGAGCGGTTGGGCTGATAGTGTAAATACGTCCTCTCCACAGTCACACTCACTCGCTCGCGCCCTCCGGATCCACCTCTTGCAATCACAAGGCGAATACAACGAAGTGCATTCGGCGTCACGAAAAGAGCATGAGATGAGGTGGATGAATGATGATGCTCAAAGCAAACCCATTCCCCCGGACGGGCAAGTCCATCTCAATTCCTGTTTCCCAGCCCTCTCTTCCCCCTTTTCCTTCCTCTTTCCATTTGATGGCACTGGGAGAGAGAGAGGATATGGGCGTGGCGTGGGCGCCCATATCCTCTCTCCTCATTCCTTTGATACATCCTCTCCTCCTTCCCCCCCTTTGAGAGATTTTTGAGTCGACTCAAAAATCACCATTTGATGGCACTGCCACATCTCCTCATTCCTTTGATACATCCTCTCCTCCTTTCCCCCCTTTCTCCCCACCCCAAACATCCCACCCCCCAGTTCCCTGCATAAGCCACCTCACTCCTACCCTGCTCCTTTTAAGCTTGCTTTCCACCACAATCAGCACGCACCTGGTCTTGCAGTCGGAAGATGTAGTTGTTGAGTGCGTCGATCTGATTCTCGTACAGCTTCTTCTTCTTCAGGCACTGGATGGCGGCTGGAGGGGGCGGTGAGAGAAAAGCGGAATAAAAGCAGTTCATATTCTACTCAAAGGCAATTCCGTGAAGTTACTTTCTCTTCAGGCACTGGATGGCAGCTGGAGGAGGCGAAGAACGCAGCAAAATCCAGTTGGTGTGTGCAAAATAGGAAAGGAATGGGAGCAGCAGAATCGTCCAAGGCCCAGGCCTACGGCAATTGGCGGAACAACGCGTTCCAGGTCGGCAAACGATTCCCCTCGAAAGCTAATGAACCACAGCAAGTTCGAGGCTACAGCAAAACATAGCAGGTCACCATGGCGGAAGGGACGAGACACATCAGCACCGGCAGCTGCGGTCAGGTTCGCTCCGCAAGTACCAACAGCTGTTGCTGTTGAAGAGGTTTGACCTTCCGAATCATCACACTCACCTCGTTTGTTCTTCTGTTCGGAAATCCCTGCGCCTTGTGCAGCTCCATGCCGACTCTCTTCTCCAATCTAAAGACGCCTCAAAATTCAACTCACCTCGCATATCAGTCTGGTCGATATAGCCGTTGACCTCACCTCGTTTGTTCTTCTGTTTCGAGAATTCCTGCAGCTGCATGGCCACTCTCTTCTCCAATTCTCAGACGCCTCAAAGTACGAATCACCTAGCAAGCATATCATTCCGGCCGTTATAGCTGTTAATTGAACCTACCTCGCTTGTTCTTCTGTTTCGAGAATTCCTGCGCCTTTTGCAGCTCCATGGCCACTCTTTTCTCCAGGACCTTAAGCTTCTTCTCAAGCATCTCCCGCGTCTGCACACGCATTGGGAAGCAAAAGCAGACGCCAAACAAAACGCATGCATGGTTATAATCCTTCTTCTTCTTCCTTCCACAGTGCCAGTCAACGCTAAGATGCACAAGAGATGACGACGACGGCGACTCAGCGAGAGGGATTAAACCCGGAAACAGTAATCGTTGTAAATCCGGAGAAAGAAAACCAGGAAACTGAAAGGTCCCTATGCTACAGAGTGCACTTCAATGTTATTCGTTCACGAACGGGAGGAATCACATGTGGAATGAATGATTAGGTGGTAAATGCGTACCTCCGACAACTTATCAAGAGACTGCCGGACTGATGGCTGCTCCTTAGGTTTGCCGAAAATTTTCCCAAACATGGTTGCTGACTGTCAAAATACTCTTAGAAGTATAATAACACTGCTGGGAAAACTAGAAGCAGATTTAACAGCTAACTACGCAGACGCAAAAGGATAAGTTGTACAATCCTCCTCCGGCCTCAACGCATCACCCAACCAATTCGTAACCGTCCCGAAACGCGACGGCTGTAGCTCAGAGACCAACTTAATGGCGAATTCTCCCCAGTGCGATACGACGCAGCCGCTTAGCAAAGACGCTAAGGGGAGCTCCAACGCAAGAGCACCTCAGTCAAGTCACTGAACTCCCGAAGCACACCACCACCACTTCAGTCAAGTCTCAGCTGTAAGGTCACACCACCACCCGCAGCTGTAAGTGTAATGAAATTGTAGGTTGCTCTCCACAAGTCGAGGAGAGGGCGTGTCCCAAGCGTACGTCTAATACGGTTGGGTGAGGTGCTTTTTGGGTCAGAAGGATCAAATATGATCTGAAGTGGTTGGGTAGGGTTTGAGCGAAAATGTCTGCTTCGGACACGGCTTGAGGCAGGTGTGATGAAACAACGAGACCATCATCATCATGACCCCCCCTTACACGCCACGGATGGCTTCTAGGTATGTGACAATACTGAAGATCGCGGGTTAATGCGCCAATAGAAACAGCTCTGCCACTTCAATACAGAGGTGGACCAACTTCCATAAAAATCCATCAAGAAAGTGAAGTATGCTTGGAACGAAATAGGATTGCACAAATTTCATGATGCATGTATGGACGTGAAATAAAAACTAACAGTAAAAATGATGATTTTCATAGTAATTTGTTATCAATCCCTCGTATTATAATAATAATATTGTTGGAAATACCTCGAAGACTTGAGCGTATCTGAAGTGTAACACTACACTCGAAAAAATCTCGTATCGAGTACGCGAGTCAACGGAGGTTACACGAGGAGCTTGGACGAAAGAACACGAAAGGATGAAGGGACTCGAAGGGTTGCAACCGGAGGTTGCGACCGACCGTTGCGACTGCAAGGATGGTAACCGAACCAACGATCGAGTCGCTGTGCGACTCGATAACCGTTTCTTCAACTGTATTCTACAACTGCTCTATTTCCTATTCTCTATATATTCCTGTATGCTTGCTTCTTTTAATCACTCACTTGCTCTGACATACTAGTGCAAGGGTTCAACTACTCAACTCTTCCACTGCATTACTCAAGCATTTCATACAAGTGGGACTTAGTCTATGAAAATATCCTAGGGCTTTACTCAGCCCAACATGGTATGAGAGCAGGTCAGAGACCAAACTCCCATCAACGACATTCTATCTACAGTCAGCACATCAGAACTTCATCGATTACAAGTCATGGACAACAAGGGCAAGAAGTCTTCTACGGGCTCACCCAGCGGCCAAGACACTCAAACCGAAATCTCTGGACTACACACTTCAGGACTACAAACCGATGCTGCTCAAGAAACAACAGGAAGGGTACCAGAAATGGTGACCTCTTCACCCTCTTCAGGCGTGGACCCAAACCTTATGGAAAGGTTCTTCAGCTTCATGTCGCACTTTGACCAGCAGCAGCAGACAAGGACACCTGCGCATTCAACACAGAGTAACGGGGGAAATACGGGATTAGCACCAATGAGTCTCGACAACTCATCATTCGGGCGGCACAATCAGGCGCCTACCTTTGCACCTTATCATTCATCACCAGGGACGTTCGAGTTCATGCCGCCCCGTGCTCAACCGACAGCAGCTGCATCACAACAGACACCAAACGAGATATTGAGTCTCCAGGCGCAGTTCTCACATGTGATTAAACGGCAGACATCTTCATCGTTAAACGGGCACGACTTCTTTACCTGGAGTTTTGAGTTCGAGCTGCTGATGGAGGCCGCGCACCTCTTGGGATACTTCAACGGGTCCCTGCCATTTCCAAGTAATGGCACTGCAAAGGAGCAGGAAATCTTTACTTATCAGTCCCTGCTGGCGTACACAGTTCTCCTGCGAAATCTGTCACCACAAGAGCAACAGAGCATCAAAACGTATCGAAGCTACGGAAACTCCGCGGAGCTCGCCTGGCATCATCTGAAGTGTCTCTATCAAGCAAATGACAGTGTGACACAAAGCAGACTCATGCAGCAGTTGACCACAATACAAATGAAGTCTGGGGAAAAAGCGATGCAGTATATGAGTCGCTGTCAGACACTCCGCGACCGCCTCCTTCAGTGCGGAGGAACAATCACTGAGGAAAGCTTCGTGACACTTGTTCTCGCCGGGCTCGGACCAGAATGGAGAACCACCCGCTCGATCCTTCGCGCTCACGGACGAATTTCCGAGATGCACCTCTGCGCCGAGCTTCATGCCAAACAACAGGAGATGGACATGTTTGAAGAAAGACAACCAAGAAACAAGCAGCAATTGTTAGTCTTCTATACTCAACAAAGAAACGGCAACAACCACAACCGACGTGATAAACAGAACCGACACGGTACCAGAGGACTCACCATCGTGCCGCCGTTCTGCCACAACTGTCAGACATCCGGGCACTCCAAGGTTAACTGCCCGCGCCCTCGAGCTTATCGTTCAGCAGATCCGCAAGTCGCCTCAACTCAAGAGAATCCGCCAAGCCGCTCCTCTACACCTGCACGAGACACACCGACACACCAAACATCATCAACTGCATGGTACGGATCGACAGCTGCAGACCCGAGTCACCACCCACTTACGCTCCAGACGAAGAAGAACTGCCACCACCGCGCTCACAAGGTCTTCAAGTCAACCCCACGTATGCTGCAGTTGCCAACGCCGAACCCACTGGACGAAACACTTGGTTCTTGGACAGTTGCTGCCGCCAACACATGTGTTCTTCCGAGCGCTTCGTGCAACGGGAGCGACGCCTCAACTGCGATGTCAGCATCAAAGTCGCCAACAAAGAGAACCTGAAAACAAATAGACAAGGAGTGGTTCAACTTCAGTCAATGGAGACAAACGCCATACTACAACTCAACAAAGTCCTCATCGTCGACAACTTGGGATACAATATACTAAGTGTCAGCCAGTTAATGGCGAAGGGAATATTGGTGCAACCCTTTGGCTTGCACTCGGCTTGTCGTCCTTGTTTGTGTGTGTGCATGCATGGCATGGAATGACTTGTGAGTCTATGTCATTGCTATCTAGTACTTGTGTGTGTGTTTGAATGGTGTATCACAATGTGGTTTGTGTCGGTCAAGACATTAGCGAGTTTTCACAACTCGCATGCCAAGTCGTCGTTTGCGCGTCGCATATGCCTTCTCTATTTTGTCTAGTGTGAAGTGTCCATCTCATCGCAGGTGTGTGCAGCAAGCCCTCATCATCTCAAGAAGAATTGATCTTGCTGAACCAAGACCAAGAGCTCAAAATTTCAAGCCCAAGGGACGTGGACAAATATTAAAATAGTGAAAATAGTAATGCTACTTCAAGTAGTGTTACATTTCACTTGGTGTAGCCCCTTGTTGGGTTTTTTTCGAGTCTCCTCATAGTTGGGGACTCTGTGGTGGTGTACCACCAACTTGGACCTCGGCTCTTGGGGTATGTAGAGGCCGGGAACCTTCCCTACCTCGAACTCTTCTTGCTAAGTTTGTACTCCTAAGACTATAGTGGCTACTGTACCTCCTGCCAGTCAAACCGCCATAGCGTCGTCAAATCGTCATGGAATTTTATGATTCAACTGACTGCTGATAGGCAACAGCAACGCGCCCCAGATCCAGTTTACAGATCACCGTTTTAGGCACAGATCAGATCGGCATCAGTATTTGAAGCTGTCTAATGGAATTCTGACTGTGCACAATTTCTCTCATTTTAGGCACATCTGAGCCTATTGTGATTATAATAAGTGGTATTAGAGCCCCTTGGAGCCATTCCGACAATGCATAGATCTGAGGAAACAGTTAGCAGAGGTGCTGGAGGCAGAGAAGACGCCCAAGTACAAGGCCAACACCAAGATCCACTCATTGCTCCCGTGCAACCTAGCCTTGGCCCCACTAGGGATGAGCCCAGAGTGTTTGGCCTTGACAAGTTCAACGGTGACAACTTTGCTGAGTGGTCCTTCAAGATGGAGAACATATTTGACCACTATGATCTGCTGGAGATGATGGAAGGAACAGAGAAGCGCCCCGAGAACGACCCGGAGAAGAGCCCGTGGGTGCGGAAGAGCGCATAAGGCTATCTTCTACTTGGGCAAGCGTTGGGGAGCAGCCAAATCCGCCACATCAAGCCTTTTCAGCGTGAACCAGCAAAGAGACCAAAGGCATGGGCTGCTCTCAAGGGTGTACACGCTCCTGCAACAGCGGCGGTGGCTATGGTTTTGGAGCGGCAAATGGCGGCACTTAGAATTGACGAAGACGAACCGGTGGAGGAAGGAGTGTAGAAATTCTTCAACTTGTTGACACGGCTCGAAGGAGCTGAGCTGGACTACAGTGACCTTCAAAAGAAGACCAAGCTGCTGGCCTTACTTCCAGACTCATGATCCTCACTCATCATCAACCTAAATCGAGATCTGCCCCGCCTCTCGCTCGAAGATGTGAAGCGGGAAATCTTGCAAGAAGATTTCCGCCGTCCTGAATTGGCGGGTCCCGATTGTCACAGGATCGAATGTGTCGAGAAAAGATTGCACTATCGATCAGTACAAGGCTCTTTTATACTTCCAGAGTACATTAAGTAACCAGGTTTATCCTATCTAAAGGAATAGACCCTTCTAGAAAATAGAATCACCCTGCGTATAGCCACGCGAGGCTATTGGGTTTAAGAGATTACGACAGGATTACGCTAGATAGCGTGTCTAGAACATTCCATGCCTAGTCGGTGATATAATTATAATAAGGGAAGAAACCAAAGGATAATGGAAAATGGGGAATATGAGGCAAAAGGAGATGAGATAAAAAGAGGACTGAAATGAAGATGAAATATGGAAAAGGCCAAGTGGTGTAACGGAGTCGTACTCTCACACTTCCCCCCCTCAAAGCTGGGTGGTAGAAGTAACACCCTGCTTGACAAGGTAGTCATGCAGAGGACGACGGGCGTTACCCATGTCGGTCTCAGAGACCCAGCTGTCCTCAGAAGGATCATAACCCTTCCAACGGATAAGAAGCTCCACGGTGCCATTCCGACGACGGCGGTGTGCGAGCACGGACTCGACCTCGTACTCGGGTTCATGCTGGACGAGGACGGGCGGTGGCGGCGGCGGTTGGCGTCCGACGAAAATTGTGTTCGGGTCCCGATAGGGCTTCAGAAGTTGGACGTGGAAGGCGTTGTGAATCTTCCAGGTAGCTGGCAGGCGTAAGCGGAAGGTAACAGGAGTGACCTGTGCTTCAACGAGGAAAGGCCCGCAG